ACTAAATGGGAAGGGCAGGCTGCCCAGACCAAACCCGAGCTACCAGCTAACTGTGCACCTACAGGCATCCAGCAGGCCCCTTTCAGGGTGGTTAAGAGCTGCAGCCTCGTTCCCAGCAGCCTGGGAGGGGTTTGTTCTGTGTAACCCAGCACAGGAGTCATTCTGAACTGCAGCCACACCTGTGCTGTGTAGGGCACAGGTAAGGTGAAAGCAGAGGCTAAAGAAAATTCTGAAGAGGATAAATGAAATACGTGAAGTGCCATACCTGGCCTGGCCAAGGTCAGATGACACATTCATTTTAATATCATTGTACTATTCAAGGTAGTTTTGAAGCATTTTTACAACACAGGAAAATGAATGTATATGTTATGAGGGGGGAAATCTGTGTACTAACCTTATGCTTTCCAACCACAACTACAAAACTTTCGTTGCCTAGAAGCACACATTTCTTTGATAATCATCAGCACCACCCAGCTCCAGACTGAAACTGTCCCTATGAAATACTAGCTCTCCACCCCCCATAATTATTATTTTAAATAGTGATTAGTGACCTAACTTACTATTCATAACTATGCCATAGTTTGGGGAAGTAACTTAGAAATATCAATGACAAATTTAGGTTATGGCTCTTTACCACAAAAACACCTTAAGTTATAAAAACCATATAGTAATATAGAAAAGTAGCAATAAAGGGAAAAAATCAAGGTATAGTCTACAAAATCAACACGCCTGTGTAGAAACAGCCATGAAAAGCCAGGGAGAGGATCCGGGGAGTGGGAAGACCCACAGGGGCATGAAAGAGACAAAACAAATTGAAATATTTATGACAAAATATGATGATACTGGAAATTTACTCTTCATTATTTACTTTAGAGGCCTCAATGTTATTTGTACAATAAAAAATCAGGAAAGCAATGTAAAAGTGACTACTTCAGCTGCACTAAGCCATGTTTTGACCTTACATGTGTCATCAGCATCTGAAAATATATAATATCAGCACTAAGTGCTTCCAATTTCCTTGAAGAATCAATGAACTCTTAGAAAAAGATGTACATTTCAAAATGCCACCCCACACCTTCCTCCCTGCTCAGTCCCAAAAATGTGTGACTCACACGGTAGGTACAGCCTCCCTGAAAGACCGCGAAGCCTTCGCCCTCATACAGTCCACGGACTTTCGCTCCTTCATAGCTACAGAGAAATAGAGCACAGGGAAAAGAGGGAAGTGAGTAAACCTGAATGTGGGTTACAATACAATTAACATTACTGAAGTGCGGTTCACACCCATTTGCTCAACAAACACTCCCCAACTACAATGTGCTTGCCCCTTGCTCAGAACTGGGCATGAAGAGACTGGGCAATTCCTGCTGTCAGAGGTTCACTGAGGAGGGACAAACAGGAAACAAACCAAGGAGATCATTTCAGTTTGGGGACAGGAAATGCTCAGGGAATGGATCTAACAGTAAATAGGCAGAGCCCTCTCTCCCCAGTTGTATGCAGAACTAAAGGACTTGAATCCACAGCCACAGGCAGCAGCAAGAAGCAGGTCCAAAGAAATGGGAACATCACGTGCAAAGGCCCTGGGGCAGGAAAGAGCCAGCTCAGCAAACAGCAGGTAGCTGGAGCCTCTGAGAGGGGGGCACATAGGAGGAAAACCCATCTCAATATGTCAGGTGTGGTTGGTCCTGATAAAGACCTGCAGTAAAATCCAGAGTTCTCTCGGGAATTTAAGAGATCTTAAGGAGAGAGTTGGACAAGCTCAGCTGTCCTTAAAAGATCACTCCATTTGCCTGTGGGGAAAGCTGACTGCTGGGAGGGAGTCGCGGAAAGGAGGGAGAGCCTGTGGAATATTCATGTGAAAAACAAAGGGACCTGGGAGAGCTGTGACCAATTTAGTCTGATTCCAAGAATCCAAGAAAATTAAGAAAATCTATAAGCAGAGAAATCTTTAGGCAGCGAATCCAGTAGCCCTGTCGGGGGTAAGGAAGGGTCTATGCTCAGCAAAAAGGGTGAATGAAAGCAGCCAGGAGGAAGAAGAAATAGAGGGAAAGGAGGAGCAGCACAGCTCTCTGACGCCAAGGCTGGGTGTCAGAAAAAGCTGGTGCCTTTGTAGAACAGGGAATGGCTGGGAGAGAAACTGCATCAGTCTCCTCCCAGGGCGTGTATTTTCATTTATCTTCCCTCAGTTAAGATCTTGAGGCCCACAAAGTTTCAGTGATGGGACGGCCACAAAGCCAAGACTCAGATCCAGACTCTCTCCTTTTGAATCTATGGTTTCTGCTTTTGGACAGAAGGGAATTTGAAATGCCGTGGACGATGTCCAGTAGGGATTTAAAAATCTCAGCCTAAAACTCGAGGAGAGACAGCGCTAAGACATGAATTCCTAACCGTGACCGAGGGGGTGGGAGGCCATGGTGGTGGGCAACATCACCTTTCGACTATGAGTGTGGTCAGAATGGGCTCTTCGTATTGGGTGGCGTTTTCATCCTGCTGATTTTCGTTTCTGGGTTCGTTGAACTTTGTTTCCAACGGTGGGCCGGCACTTGGGAGCGTTTCTTGCTGAACATCATTGCCATCTTGTTTGGAAAATTCTGGATAGTCAGAGAGAGATGAGGGAGTGGGTTTATCACCTCTCTTGTCTGCCTTTTTCTTTTCTTTTACCATTGCCTTCAGAAGACTTAGAGTCTGTATGCAGAAGCAGCAAATGATTCCTTTGCTTGAGAGTTATTTCAATGCATCCGAGATTTAGCTGAAAAATAAAAATGCCTGTATTTTTGAAGTTTTTATTTGTAAGAATGTTAGCTATACAACAGTATATTCATTCTCTTCCTTTAAAGCCTGAGAAATTACAAGAATCAAGTATCACCGTTTACAAAACTAATATAATCTCAATATTGCTTTGGTTAATATTATTTTTTTAATTGGATACACCATCTACCAGTTCCTTCCAGGGTTCCAGTAAAAAGGGTAATTCTGTACATAAACAATGGCTACTTAGGGCCCTCCCTGATAGTGCAACAGGTTAAAGCACAGCACCAAGACACTCTCCGCAGCCACTGCAGCAGTTCGATCCCTTGCCAGGGAGGTGACCCACAATGGCAGAGCAGACCTCTTCTGTCTCGCCTGCTGCTCCCCTCAGCTGTGTACTTTTGTCAATCTGTCCCTGCACCTCCTCTCATCCTGTGTCTCTGGCCTGTACCCCAGTTCGTGTATACATAAATAAGTAAATCTTTTTAAAAATGGTGACTTAAATGTTAAGGTCTCAAAAGCTGCCGATTCATACTTTAAACATCCATCTCAATATATCAGCATTTAAAGTGCTCTGGAGATGGCTCCTGCTTTTTGCACCTGCTCTTGAGCAGGTTACCCAATGTTGTTCTGCTTCAGATCTCAAATAGGCATAGTACGTTATGTCACTATAAGGAGTAAATGAGATCATACACAGAAAGAAATTTCCTCAAGTATGAGATACAATGCATAATCAATAATGAAGGGATTAATTATCTTTCCTGTTCTTTAAATTGGCTGCCTACTTCCTGGAACACAATTTCCTACCATAAGTGCCTCAAGTGCCGGCCAAGAATTCCTGTGCTAATTCTTTGTCCAGGGTCACTGACAGGGGTTCAAAGCCATACTTTTCATGGCCCCCCAGAACTGGCACCTCTGAAAGCTTCCTGGGTCATCAGGCAGGACCATGGGTGAGTCCTGGAGTGCTAAGGTCCTCTGCCTGGAGGGTACCCTCTGGACTTCCTCCTGCCAGTCCAACCCCCCTGTGGGGCTGTCTCACCGGTTCTCTTCCTTCACATCTCATTGGCTCTCCAGCCCACAGCCTGCAGTCTCTTCCTTGGGGATCCTTTCCTAGGGGCTTTCTGATCCTCCGTGAGTGAAATCATGAGCTACAGATAAGGCAAGTTTCATTTTATTTCCTCTTGGAGTGTTTCCTATTACTATTAGTCTCCTAGCTGAAACCATTTTATTGCATGTGACTGCTAACTTTTTTATTAGGCAGCACAAAGGGGCAGGCATTCTTGCACTTTCTTACCCTATTCCTCAGGCCCTCCGCAGGCTTGACGCACCAGCTCAGTACTAGAAGGCGCCTTCACCAAGACAGGAAAAAGCAGACTCTGAGATCCAATGAGGGGTGCTCACCGGTGCAGGAGGCCCCAGCAGGCTCTGCGGGGAAGCAGAGCAGCTGTGCGTCTTTAACGCCACTTGGTTTCCAAGCAACCACTGCCCTCCCCTCCCCCCCTTAAAGGGCCGCAGGCCGTCTGAGCGCCAAGCATCAGGACTGTAGGGGCCAGGTCCAGAAGGTCAGGTGGAAATCTAAACTGGATGCACCTAACCTGGGGTTTCCCCCATTCAGCTGCGGGACGGCCTCTCAGCGTTTATCCACTGTGAAACAAGCATCAGTCTTGCATTCATTCTCCACTGCTGTCTTTAACAACTTACCCTAAACGGTAGTAGCTTAAAGCAACACAAATCATCTCACCGTGAAGTTGTCACATCCAAACGAGTAGGAGAGTAGGATCCTGGATGGAATGCTCTTCCTTGCCTTCTCCAGCTCCTGGAGAACCCCTGCCTCCATCCAGAACACAGCAACCCTATATCCAGGCTGGGTGCAGCTCAGGCATTTCAATTGTGGGGGCAACAGCCAGAGCAGCCATACCTTAGACCCACTCTTAGTACCACTCAGGTCACATATTCAAGGGTTCTTGGGTTAGAACATGCCAGCCTTGGGGGTGAGGGTGGGGGGTCATGATTGCCTACCACAATTCCCAGTCTGAGAGTTCTTGTAGGCACCAAGGCACAGAGATTGACACACCTAAGGAATTCTAGAGTTATGAATGGGAGCCATCTCTCTCAGGGTCCTTGGTCTGGGGAGGGAGAGGGGCAGAAGGTGTCAACACTTGTCACTGCTGTACATGTCAGTGCACTACAGCAGCAACTACAGTTTCCCACAGTGTACCCTGGGAAACCAGATCACAGCACAAGTCACAGAGAGAACAGACTCTTTTATTGCCCCTTGTAAGAACAGAGTGCCACCTGGCTGCAGTGGGGAGCACTGGAAATAGTGCCTTCCGCACACCCAGGCATTTCTTCCAGGACAGAGACTCCCCCTTGAGGTTTTTGAATTACTCCTTTTTTAGAAGTCTGTGAGCCTCAGTAGTGAGAATCATTACTCCAAAAGGACCACATCATTTTGAATTGATGAAATTAAACCACTATGAACTTAACTGTCATTAAGAGCCGCACACTGCAGCCTGACTGACACACACTGTCAGTGCAGAAGCCTGTGACCCCTCAGGAGCTCTCGCCATCTGCAACACGCTGGGCCTGCACACACGCACAGAACGAGGAGCGCAAGCCACGCCCCTAATTGTTAGCCAAGGTTCTCAAGAGTAGTTTTAAATAAATTGGGTACGATTTTCCAAGTGGCAGGTTAATTTTGAAACAAAATGTTTGGCTGAAACCCAATCTTGCAGAACAGAAAACTCTGGGGCAGAACGTAGAGTCCTCGCAGTGCTGTCAGTTTTGAGAGACGGCGTCCAGGTTGGCAATGTGCCTCATGGTCGGCCTTCCATGGGGGCAGTTCCAGGGGTGGTCCATCTCGCCCATGTGGGAAACCAGCTTCTTCATCTCACCCATGTTGAGAGCAGTTCCGATCATCACCTGGATACAAGACACAGGGGTTTAAAGTTTCACTGCTTTTCGTTAAGGTAGCAACTCTTCAAAAGTGTTTTCCTGGGACAAAAGGTTGGGCAAGGTTGCAACTCAACCTCATTCACTGAGATGTCTTCTCCAAAAGAACACTACCTTCTAGTATCTCAGCATGCACCTTTCCCTGAAACCTAGCACCCCCACAACTAGAGGCACCAACCACACCTGCCCAGAACCCAGTCAGTCCTGGCCCTTCCTCAGCCACCCAGGCTCAATAGCAGCGACCTCCCTGCATCTGTCTGTTCCTTTTAAGGTGTACCAGATCGCGAGGCCCGTCACAGCCGTCCCCTCCCGCCTGCGAGTGCATTACCTGATTTGTTGGGCTGGCCTCCGCGCTGCACCTGTGAGTGCACCCCTCTGCCTCCCCCCACTCCAGCACCCTCATTCCTCTGCACAAAACCATAAAGCAAGGAGCTGCCTCAGAACCTCAGCAGTGGCCTAAGCCTACACCTGGGATAATCTTTCCCCCAAAAGCTTCATGTCTCACTTCCCAGTCCCTTCAGGCTGCTGCCCAATGCCCCCGCCTCCTCAATGAGGGGGCAGCTCTGCACCCCCCCATGCCCTGGTATTCTCCACAGCACCTTCACTGCCTGCTATACATATCAGAGGGGCTGCACAGACCCCACCACACAGAGAAACCTCATCCTGAGCAACAGGAGATGGAGGGAGGTGGCTAGCCTTGCCGCCAGCTGCTTCCTGCCACGCCAGACGCTCCTAGGGGCAGGATACACAGCGGGGCTCTGGCACCCTGGAGGAAGAGACACGAGACAACGTGACTGAACATTAGGGTAGTGCAGGGGGAATACCCGGGAGAGGTGACTTCAGTTAGCTACTCAGGGAGGGCCTAAGGACCAGGGAGAGGAGCAGGTGTGTGAAGGGCAGACGTGGGGGGTCCAGGCAGTGGGCAGGGCCAGCACGAAGGGCATCAGGTGTGAGAGGGTGAGGATTTGGGATTGGTGCAGTGCCATCGGGCTGGAGGGGCAGGGCCTGGGGTGCGGGGCCCTGGTGTGGCTCTATGAAGCCCACAGTGGTTGGTACGTGTGTGGCCAGAGGAAGAGAAGCTGTGGCAAGATGGACCTGCGAGGTGGGGAGTAAAGGAGCAGCCTGCGGCTCCTAGAATCTGTGAGCTACAGAGTGTGTACTAAAACACTCCCTGTTAGGGTGGGCAGTGCCAGCTTCCACTCTCACAAGCTCCAACACTGGAAGGCTTTTGTTAGGTCCTCACCGAAGAAATACCCGTGGGTGTAAGCGAGCTCCCGAATCCTCTAAGCTGATGACCCCTTCCCCAGAGTAACTTCATCTGGCCTCACAGCTGTGAAGTACATTTAAACTTTCACCTTTGTCTCTGACATTGCTCTAGGTTCCTCCATCTGACTATTTCCAATGAAGCCCCAACACCCCCAACCCTGCTCAATGTCAAATGAGACTCAATTGCAATATGTCTACAACAGAACTCTCTGTCCCTCGCAGCCCCAAAGGTGAGAAAGCTGCTCCTCGCCTCCACCTCACGCAGGCTGTTCACCCAGCACAACCCTCCAGCAGCTCCCCACTGCAGCATGGACGCCCAGATCCTGCCCAGAGTGACAAGACCCCTTGTGGGTCCCTCACGCTCTCATCCGGGCCCCCTCCACTCACACAAGCCAGCCTCGACCCTTGGCAAACACCCAGGCCTCTGCACGTGCTTTGTCTTCTAGTTGTAAAGTTCTAGCCCTTTCTCACCTCCCACCTCACCTTCAGGTGGCAGCTCAGACACCCCCCCACCGAAAAGTCCATTTTAAATGCTCACCTCAATTTTTCGGGGCCCCTCCCTGTGCTATGTGTTAAAATTTTACTGAACTTAACTGGCTGTCATGATTTTCATTTACATCCATCTTCCTACAGGGTCCTCACTGCTTTGTTATCTCGTGTCACTGCACATAATAAGCAACAGTGGGGGGGGGAGGGGAAGGGTTGCCATGCAGCAGAGGCTCAAAGAGTATCACCTGTCCTAATGAAGGAATGGTGCCCTGCCCTGACCTTTCCTGTGGGCCAGATGATAGGGATTCACTAACTTTGACATTAAGCTAATCACCAGCCACTGCCACCAGTTTTAGTACCAATCTGAGCAGAGCACACTGGGCAATCTTGCTGACTGAGGAATTCTACACAATCGTGGGCAGTGCCAGGTGGGTCTGGCAGCTGCAAATCTTTCTCCACCAGAGATGTTAATGTCTGTAAGGGTCCCCAGGCCAACAATGTGCATAAGTAGCCAACTGCACACTGGGGCAATGAAATCTCTACATGAAAGAAGCGCTTCCTGGCAGGAGAGAAGCAACAACAGCTGCGAGTTCGAGGTCACAGATGACACAGATGTACAGACCTGGTACTTATACTGACAGAGAAGGTGTGACTCCCTGTGTCCATCATACCGGCATTTAGTAATGTCAACCAGTCTAGGGCGGAACTGAGAAGCTCTGTGAGCACCAGTGAAGCAGGTCCAGGACCCAGGAGATTAGCTAATTTACTTACAGACTTCCGGCAGGCTCTGGAAGCAAACATCTGCCTGACCCGGGAAGGCCGGCACATGACACCAGGGCTGTCACTGAGCATAAAAATCAGTTCATCTATGTCCTGGGGTCCAAAGGTCCAGTTTTTACTAGTTGGCAAGGAAATCAGCTTGGCCCTTTCAGTGACTGGAGCTGAAAGAATAAAATTTGGAGAAAAATCCATTTGAAAATTGTTTCATTTGTGAGCTACTTAATATGCATACCTGATAGTAAGGGCAAACACAAAAGGATTTGGGGGAGACCACTGTATGCCCTCAAAGCTTGTTCTCGGGTCTAAAATGTCGATTCTACAGTCCTAAGTAGTAACTTACCACTTTCATCAATAACAAAATCAAAGCCATTCTTTCTGAAGATTTCCAAATTTTCTATCAACACAGCTTCATTGACAGCAGTTAAATTGAGAGTCTGGGGTCTGAAAAACAGATCAAATCATATCTGAAGTTAAAAATTAAGCTCTAAAGCAGAAATCAAACAACAAAAAAGCCCTGCAATATATGTACATACATCTTTATACATATATATATGTATATATGTATATATGTAAAAGGTCTGACACTCAGGTAACACAGCCATGTGACTTCAGGCAAGTTTTTTAACTTATCTGCATGTTCCTGTTTTATTACCTGTCACATGATGATGATAGAAACTACCAAACAGGTTTGTGAGAATTAAATGGCTTTACTCACGGAAATTGCTTTAACTGTGCCTATCACATAACAGATGATAAATGGCAGGTAGATATATGTTATAAAAAACATGGTGAGGGAAACCCACGGGGATTACAATCAAGATAGAAAAAAAAATGTGCAAAATTATGTAAAAATAAACTTTTGTAATAATTAAAAAAATAATAAAAATAAATAAATAAACATGGTGAGGGATGCTTATGGCACGCACACACACGTATAAGCTACTAGATCTTCAACTTGGGAGGTGAAACGATGCTGAAAATTCTGATCACTGGAATGAACTTACACGATAAGCTTTTGGCCCTGGAGAACAGTGTGCTGCTGGAGCATCTCAAAATTGTATTTCTCATCAGTAGCGTGTTGGTCCACTATGAAGAGATCTGCATTCAGCTTGGTGATGATAAATCCCAAATTAAACTGACCAATGATCTCCATTTCCGCAAAACTCGTTTTACTGCATATAAACCATGTTCACAATGAGACACTTTAAAAGATTATTCTTCTGACTATAACACACTATAATAAAAAAATTACACAACACAAAAAGTCCCTCATAATTCCCACTTTTTAAAGATAATTTGAATTATTCACTCATTTATCCAACTCTCCAGCGAAGGCATTCATTTCTATTGTGAATAACTTGTATGTCCTTCAGTTCTTTGTCTAGAGAGTTATTGTTTAAAAAGAAAAACAAAAACAAAAAACACAAAACCAGGATATCCCTGGTGGCACAAGGGATAAAGAGAAGTACTATGCAGCTCTCCACAGCCACTGAAGCACGAGTTTGTGGTCACCGGAGAGATGACCCCACATAGCACAGCAGGCCTCTCCTGTTTCGCCTGCTGCTCCCCTCAGCAGTGTTTCAATGGATCTGCCTGTTCTGCTCCCCACTCTGTCTCTGGCGAATCCTCTTACCCCCTGTACCTCTGACCCATACCCCAGTTCCTGTATGCATAAATATATCTTTAAAAAAAAATAGTTTCTCTCATCACTTAACAATACATTTTCCCAGACCCTCTAACATAGATCTACTTCATTCTTTTTAATGTTCATACAGGAATTCACTGTGTGGATACATTATACTTTGACACATTTTATTCTAAAGGATACTTCCTTTGTCTCCATTTTAAGTAACACAAAATTGCAATAAACATTCATGTACTGTATCTGCTCATTTGGAGAATGTACAATAAATCTCTACATGTGGAATTATGCATTATGTATACTTTATTTTGATAGGAAATCTGTTACACTTCCACAAACAAAGTATAATAGCACCTTTCTGCTAATATCAAGTATTAGTCTATTTAATGATAACTGCTAAGTTCACCACAGGATCCTTTGATGAGTGGCTTCAACATCTAGTGACTACCCAAGTCAGTTGAGACAAGAGGCAGACACCACCCCAGCCTTTACATGAGAAATCAGCAGAGTAATCCCGTAACCTGAACAACTGTATTTTGTGAAAATAGATCAGCCATGCGGCTCCAAGGAATGCAATTCTGTGAGGGCCATGAAGCTTTCTGGTTCTCAAAGAGTGATGACCTGAGTTAAGCATGGAGGACCTGAGATTGTCCTTTCCTTTTCTGAGGGCTCCAGGACCCCTGTTCAGGAAGAGCAAATGCTACTGTCTGAATACATGCTGGTCCCCCCCGGTGGGCACCCCACAAGGAGAACCTGTGCTGGAAAATATTCTTGAAATAATTCAGGCAGCAGAACTCAAAGCAGCTCACAAAGATGAACAAAAATATCCTAAAGGAAGACTTTACCTGATCTCTTTTCTTAATTCATCTTCTGCTACTTGATTTTCTCCAGGGCAAATCTTTGCCCTAAACTTCCTATAATTTTCTTCACCTTCTCTTTGCTGTTCTTGGTGACGTAACTGCTCTATCCGTTTAGCTAAAGAACTCATGGAAAAGTCAAGGGGAACAATTTTCTTATTAATTTTAACAGCAACATCAACCTGAGACACTGATGTGTTCTGAGTATTAACGACCTCTTGAGGGATGTCAGAATTTAAAGGAATGTCTTCTTTTTTAAAACGCTTTGTGTTTGAGGAAGAGAGATTACTTGGCTGAGGCAAAACTCTGAATTTACATGCATTGTTTTTCTGGTCTAAATGGCATTCTGTGTCTGAAAGACAATGGCGAATCTCAATTGACTTCTCAGAAGACTCCACACTTCCTTGTGAAAACCTGTCTTCAGGGGAGCTTGCTACACAGTCACTGTTGGACAGACTGCCCGTTTCTGGGGTGCTGACCCTTTCCTCTGAGCTGGCTGAAGTGCTACTGAACCCCGAGTCTGCCTCCACGGCCACTCTGCCCTTAGGCTCACAAGAGCCTTCATCTGGACTCATCACCCCCTGCTGAGGGCAGGATGAAGCTGTGCCAGCAACAGCCTCCCGGGAACTGAGAGGATCGCAGGTGTTCCCAAACGGTTCCCTTCTTTTCTGTCTTGGAGAAATCCACCTCAGTTCAGTGGTCTTCAGACTCTGAGGCCCTGGTGTGTGGCGAAGGGAGAAGGCCTCCCTCAGTCTGGAGATGGTCACTTCCCGTTTCTCTTCTCCCCGAGTCCTTGGGGAAGCAGGGTGGCCCTGTGTTTCTGGGAGAGGCACTTTCATTTCCACTGAGTGTGCTTTTATTAAGTTACCTAAGCAGAATTGAACAGAGGAGAGTATCAAGGTTGTCACTGAAATGAAATATGGGCATATGTTTGGGTAAAAGGCACTTTGTAAAAGAGCAGATCCAAGGCTAATTAAACATGAAAACCAACCTAAGTTAATCACCCAGGAGACAGAAATGGAAAGCACCACACAATGCCAGGGCGACCCATGGGGAACAGGGAGCACGAGACATGTACCCGAGAGTGAGGCTCCAGGTAATGCTCACTCAGCTGGAGCAGTGAGTTTGGTCCACACACTTTGGCTTTGGAAAACTCTGGGCATGTCTCCTAAGTCCAGCCCACCCACACCTGACCGAGGGTTGCGGCTGCTCTCAGAAATGACCAGCTCTGCTCCCCAAAGCGAGCGCGGGGAGACCTGTAACAGCTTTATTCCTTTCAGCCCCAGAAGACAAATCACCTGACCTTCAAATGCCAGGGACTGCTGCACAGCAGGGAGAACAGCGAGCTGTCACACAGGGCCTGGGGGGCCTCACCAACCAAACACTGAGAGGAGAACCAGTTCACAGCAATGACTCCAAACAGAAACAGATGAAACAAAACATAGTGGTAGAAGTCGGGAAAAGTCACCGCTTCTACCAAGGGTGGTCCATGGGGGCTACTCTTCTCCTCAGGGCTGATCTACCTTTAAGCACCATGGGTATGGTGTGCTTGTTTCAGTAGATCACCACACTTCCATAAGCTGCCTCTAAGGAGGGCACAGTCAAGTGCGCTTCAAGAGGCACAGCTATTCGAGCAGGTTCTCGCTATGGGCAGCCTCGCTGGCAAGTGTCTGTGAGCGAGCTCAGGGATGCTGGCTCATTTCAGTGCACTACCTGCCCGCTCCCACACATGCAAGCTGTATGATCTCAAGCAGAGAAGAGCCAGGGAAGACAGGGACCCAGCACCTACTACTAACAGCTCTGCCATCTGATGCCAATGTGTCTTCTCTCTCCACCACCAGCCCTCAGGACCTTTGTGCCTCTACCACACCTTCTATTAACAGCTGTCCAATATGGCCCTGGGATAGGCCTCTCTGGTGGCACAAGGGGTTAAGCCACAGCACCATGAAGGTATGGGTTGGTAGCCACTGCAACAAGAGTTCGATCCCATCCAGGGAGCTGACCCACATGGGTCGGCAGTCCTTTCCTGTCTCACCCACTGCTCCTCTCAGCAGTGTATTTCAGTAGATCTGCCTGTTCTGCTCCCTACTCAGTCTCTGGTGAATCCTCTGGCCTGTACCCCAGTTCTTGTATGCATAAATAAATAAATCTGAAAAAAAAAAAAAAAGCCTATCCTGGTGTCTTCCAAAATGACCTCTCCTCACTCTTGGGTATTAGAAAATGTTAGGGCTGATGGGAAATCTGCAGGGATTACAATTGAGATGGAAAAAAAAAATGTGCCAAATGATGAAAAAATAAACTTTTTAATGAAAAAAGAAAAAGAAAATGTTAGGGCACAGTAGTCACTCCAAGCCCCACCCTGCCCCTTACCCCATGGACTATGGATCCTGGTACCTTGGTTTACAAAGCCTCATCTCAAAGTAATTTCTTCTCACGGGGATCAATATTCACCTGTCACCTTACCTTCTCCCAAGCCCTAGTTAGACAGCACCCCAACCCAGAAGCAGATCTGGCTAGTTAGGGCAGGTGATGGCAAGGCACACAGGGGATGGGGGCATCTTAACTTTGGCCTCCTCCCAGATATTCTGCAAGCACTTGGATTGGATGAGTAAAAGTAAAAATAACTACTAAATAAATGGCTGATCACTTATGACCAGGTAGAAAAATATGATGATGCAAGTTATCACAAATATCCAATCAATTTTGTGGAAACTCCTTACACCATGACATCAGAGAATAATGCACTGTGGTGACACTGGGGAAGATGCCAAAGCAAGAGTCTCTTAAAAAAAAATAGCTGAATCTTGTTAAGAACACAGCGCTGTGTGTTCTGAATGTGGCTGCTCATGTCTCTTTTTAATCAGATTATCTGTACTTTGCTAGTGTGCCACAGCCCATCTAAAACAAAGCAGATCTTGTTTTATGTCAAAAAATTACCTTAGAGAAAAACAATGCAAGTACCACGTAGCTATAAGTTTAGAAGTTGTTTAAATACTTTGTGTTTTTCTTACCTTCAACATCCAACAGAGGCTGCTGGCTGGCATTCAGTTTGTTAGCATCACTATCAAACATTGCAATCAAAGACGTCTTTAAAACTGCCAACAAAAGCTTTTCCTCTTGTAGTAAAATTTGCCTTTTATCCGGAGTAACATTAATATCCACACATTCTATGGCAAGAAAGAAGATGGCTATTATGCTTTTATTTACAATAAAAATTTCCCTGCCTACCATTTTATTCATTTGTTCTTATCAAAAGTATCCTTAAAAAGTACATTACTGAATTCAGATTAATATTTAAAAAGCACAAAATTCACTCTTTCAAATGAGTAAGGAAAAGATGAACAATTTTTTTAGTAGGCAAGCTATGCAAAGATTTGAATGGGTTATTTGTAAAAAACCTAAACACATGAAAAAGCACAATACATAAAAACTACACATTAAAAATGATATTTTTTATCACCTACTGAATTTAGTTAAAATTATAATAATGGGCCTTCCTCATGGCACAAGGGCTTAAGTCTCAGCACTATCAAGCTATTGTCAGACACTCTAATCTGAGTTCAATCCCAACAGGGAGCTGACCCACGTGGTGCAGCAGACCTCTTCTGCCTCACCTGCTGCTCCCCACAGCAGTGTATTTCAGTAACTCTGCCTGTTCTGCTCCCCACTTTGTCTCTGGTGACTCTTCTTACTGCCCCCTGCACCTCTGGCCTAAACCCCAGCTCTTTATGCATAAAAAAAAAAAAAAAAGCACACCACTGGTAGATGTATAGATTGTTACCACCTGATCATATTCACTAACCCAGTGATTCTACTTCTAGAAATCTACTAGATATATCTATGCTTTGGAATTTAATGTTTCTGAATAATTTTCAGTGATGTGGAAAACAATCACACTAAAAAAAAAAAGGAGCAAGCTATAAAAATCACCCAAATTTATATTTTCACCTTGAAGGATCTGTACATAATGTTTAAAGTCTGTGCACAGTTATTTCTAAGCATCTAGGGAAAAATACTGAGTTATAATCAACACAAATTTTAACAGAAGAAAACAAAAAAAATTTTCAAAACCAGGAAGAACATTTAATATACTTTCTCTCTTGGTTCATATGAAAAAATTGTATTTTCCTAACTAACAATATAATTAATATAATTTTTAGCCAAAGGCAGGATAGTCTATAAAAATTGAAATTAAAAATTCCATAAAAAAATAAAATCATAACTCATTGTTACTACAAAAGTCTCTACCTAGTCATATCAGAGCTTTAAAACTCATTTTTTTTCTTTTAGGCATAAGTCACTGATTGTACTAACATCTCAATGGAACTTACCTGAATCAACAGAAATGTTCAGAACAACAAAAGGATACTGATGTCGGTTATACATATGATAGACCTCATTCACAAGTCTGGAAACCTAGAAGAAAAACAAAGATCATAAAAGAAAAAATATTCCCTTCCCCTGTTCTAACAACATGTGACTCTAACCAACACTGAAGGGATATGTTTGAACAGCTTTACTGAGTAAACTTCCTAACTAACTGCGCATAGTTAGGTGTACAATTTGGTTAAGTTTTTGTCATTCTTCAAATGTACTGAGAAATGTATTTACATGACTTTATGATGAGATTCTGAAATGGAATTAGGGGTAAACATTAAATCACACTAACTACAATACAGGTAAAAAAGTTAAAAGTAAAAAAATATCTGGTTCAATTTAAAGTATTACTGTAAAACAGAAAATAGTACTGAGACACAAAGCTGCTGAAAGTGAAGAATCAAATCTGAACCACTAAAAGCCCACATACATAACCATATCAAGGGGAGCAGTTTAAGCCTGAGGTAGAAATAACCTGGCCATTACTTTCCTAGAATGGGGATAGATGTGTCAAGCCATATTGAAGTCTAAACATTTGAAGTATTTTGAAATCTTTACTTCCTTACCTTATAATAGTAAACATATTGGTTGTTAATGTGTGTACATATTTACATACAAGCTAAAACAACTGTAAAGCAGTGTTTTCTAAATGCCTAAAATTTAAAATCACATTTGTGAATCAGTACCCCATATTCCACGTAAATTGCCGAAGACAGGAAAAGTTATTAAATAAAAAGTTAAAGGCAAAAAGGAAAAACCAATTCCAAAAAAAATTTAATACCTTTGCTGGGTCACAAGGTCGTCGATTGATAAAGAAAAACTGTCTATCTGTTGAGCTCCTTCCAACACCGTGAGTACAGTGAGAAATGAAGCCTGAAATGCTATCCGACCGTTGTGTGTCCAATAAGGGGAACATTCCAGAGAGAAAAGGATTAGTAGCACATATCATAGGGCCTACTCTCCAAGTAAAAAGAAATTAAAAACATAGTACTTGGTGACATATCTGTAAGTACTAACATTTCCGTTAACTTGTATCCATTCTAAATCTTAAAAAGTACACAGAGCCTCTAAAACATTTTAAAGCCCCTATATAGTCAGCAAATGCACCAGAGGGCTTCTAATCCTTGCTCATGGATTAGAAGAATTAACTGCAGGGGTTAAAGTCTTAGTATCAAGCCATTGCCAGCCACTGGGGCATGAGTTCGATCCCCAGTCAGGGAGCTGACCCACATGATGCAGCAGACCTCTCCTGTCTCACCTGCTGCTCCCCTCAGCAGTCTATTTCAGTAGATAGGCCTATTCTGCTCCCACTCTGTTTCTCAAGCCCTCTGCCCCATACCTCTGGCCTACACCTCAGCTTTCTTAAACTAAAAGTAATCATGCTGGACTATACTTTGGGTGGGGCATGTATTACAGGAACTCTTCTGCACTCTGCTAGATCCTAACAAAGTGAAATATTACCCACTAAAGAATTTAAAAGTTATTCAAATTGTTCACTAAAAGAGCATTTACTACAAAAACTGTTGCAATACCAAAAAGTCCTCAAATTCATCTATTACCAAAAACATTGTTTGAATGAAGTAACTAAGTGCTTTCTAGAAATCACTCCCAGCAGTTTTATTGCTTGCAGTTTTATGATGAACTAAAAACTATAAGGCATGAAGTCACTATCTTTAAAAGAAAAATTCAATCTCAGGTAAAGATACTCTAATAGTTTTCCTGGCAGCAAGCTACATACCAGAACAGATTATGCAGCGTGTCAGAACAGCTGAGCCCATACTCCTCACAGACTGGGTCACTAGGGGGCAGCTGAACAAAAGGAATAAGGCTTTGCAACTAGAAAGAAAACAAGATTCAGAGTTACTTCCTAATAGAGCTGGAAGGCACCTGACTCAAAAGGAAACCCAGGGACCTTGCAGGCTGCTTTTTGCAGGGCTCTCATCCTTTTGATTGATTAGAGAGATGGACGCTACTTATCCATAATCAATACATTGCTCATAACGGTCCACTTATTTTTTTCAGAGTAAAAGGATTATTTTATTCTCTGGAAAAATAAAATTAAGAACTTTTAATTCACAGTATTAATTTTTTCTGATCAGGATCCAATAAAACCTCAATTCTTAGATGTTATTCTCTATTCCATTGGAGAGGATTACAGAAATCTGCCATATTCACTAAACAATAAAATATTCACTAAACAGCAAAATATTGTTTAGAAACTGGCCACCACTACCTGTTTTTGCCCAAAGATAGCTCCAATGTTCTCCTTCATGCTGGAACTCCCACTTGTGCATAATACAGGCTGTCGTCTTCCTTGTCCAACCTGATTGGTACAATTTACACGGATGCCTGGTGAAATGATACAGTAGGCATGTAAGACCTGGACCATTCGGGCATATTCCTGTTCAAAAAGCACAAAGGCAAAACTCAAAATTACTTTAATCTTAATTTTCTGTACACCAGAAATAGTTTTTTAAAGATTCATTTATTTATTTATTTATTTATATAGAACTGGGGTTTAGGCCAGAGGTACAGGGTGGAGGGGACAGGATTTACCAGAGACAGAGTGGGCAGCAGAATAGGCAGATCCACTGAAATACACTGCTGAGGGGAATATAGGGTGGGTCAGGAGAGGTCTGCCATGCCATGTCGGTCACCCCCTGACCGGGGATCAAACTCGTACTGCAGTGGCTGTGATAGCTTCATAGTGCTATACTTTAACCTACTGTGCCACCAAGGAGGGCCCAGAAATTATTAATTTTTAAAGAATAAAGAAAAACTTTTAAAAGCTTTCTTTTAGAAATAGAAGACACAAAGAAATGGAAAGAGATCCCTTGCTCATGGATTAGAAAAATTAACATCATTAAAATGGCCATCCTACCAAAAGCAATGTATAGATTCAATGCTATTCCTACAAAAATCTTAATGACATTTTTCAAAGAAATAGAAAAAATACTGATAAAATTCATATGGAGCCACAGAAAACTTCGAATTGCCAAGGCTCTTCTGAATAAGAGACTAGAGGTATCACACGCCCAGACTTCAAACTATACTATAAAGCCATAATAACTAAAACTGCATGGTACTGAAACAGGAATCGACATACAGACCAATGGAATCTAATAGAAAACCCAAATATAAATCCACAGCTTTATGGACAATTAATCTTTGACAAAGGAATATGTAATGAAACAAAGAAAGTATGTTCAACGAATGGTGCTGGGAAAACTGGGCTGCTACGTGCAAAAGAAATGAAGCTAGATTACTACTTCATACCATTACGAAAACCAACTCAAATGGGTTAAAGACCTAGACATAAGACATGAAACCATAAAATATCTACAAGAAAATACTGATGAAACACTACATGACATACACCTCAGTAACATATTTAAAGATATATCACCCAAAGCAAGGATAGTGAAAGAAAGGATAAACACCTGGGACTACATCAAAATGAAGAGCTTCTATAAAGCAAAAGAGACACTACATAAAATAAACAGACACCACACTGATTGGGAGAAAATTTTTGCACATAATACAAATGATAAAAGACTGATCACAAAGAAATACAAAGACCTGACAAAACTCAACAAACATAAAGTGAACAACCCCATTGAAAATTGGGCAGAAGAGCTACAAAGACACTTCTCCAAAGAAGAAATGCAGATGGCCAATAAGTATATGAAAAAATGTTCAGCATCACTTGTAATAAGGAAAATACAAATCAAAACTACAATGAGATACCACCTCACACCAGTGAAACAAGCACATATTAAAAAACAACAACAAGGAATAATAAATGTTGGCAAGGGTGTGGAGAAAAAGGAACTCTCCTACACTGCTGGTGTGAATACAGTCTGGTGAAACCACTATGGAAAGCTGTGTGGAGCTTTCTCAAACTGCTGAAAATGGAGATTCCTTATGATTCAGCAATTCCATACTAGGTACCTACTCAAAGGACACAGAACCAACACTTCAAAAAGACACCTGCACCCCTATGTTTACTGCTGCCCTATTTACAATAGGGAAGATGTGGAATCAACCCAAATGCCCAGAAATAGATGACTGGATCAAGAAGTTGTGGTAGACATATACAGTGAAATAATACTCAGCAGTCAAAAAGATAAACTCATGCCATTTGTGATAACATGGATGGAATTGGAAAGGATCATGCCTAGTGAAATAAGCCAGAAAGAAAAAGAAAAATATCAGATGGTTTTAGTCATAGCAAGAGTGTAAGGGATCAAAGGAAAAAAAAAAACATGTATAGTAATTGTAATAAAGTAAAAAAGAACATCAACTAACAACTATAAACCAGAGACATTCTACAGGGGAAGAGAGGGGAACAAGATTATAACGGGAAGTGGGAAAAACACATGGGACTATGGTGATGGCACATGGGTGAAGCGGTGGTGGGAAGTCCATGGGGATAACAAATGTACAAAATGAAGAATAATGTAAAAAAATGTATTTATAAAAGAAAATAAATAAAAGGTTTTTTTAATAGTTGTAACTAGCACAAATAGCTTTACAAGTCAAGTAAGTTCCCACCTGCATGTTTAAGTAACTTTTTTTATTATATAATGTATACATACGCAACACAGAAAAGCATAAGGACAACAAAAAGCACATGTGAGCTTTTTGTTCACTTCCAAGGATATCACTGGGAATATTCATGAACCTACTGTTCTAGCTTTCTGTCTGATGCATATTTAGGTCAATTGCTTTGTTTTTACAAAACTGTTAGTATATCCTATGTGATATACACATATACATATATACTTATACATACATATATATATATACATATATATATATGCTTTTTAAGTATAATTACATAAGATGTAACTGTTTCATTTTCATTCTAGTCCATAAAAATTATAATTCACTTTTCAGAAACCCAAGAAAAATATTCTTATTAAAAAATAAAGATAAAATTTAAAAAATGTTATTTTTTAACGGATTCATGTCCTATTTTAGAATACCTCATAAACATGATTTGATGATTCTTTCAAGACTAAAATTGTCTCTGAGAAGAAAAGCCAAGCCCTTCTCAAAAAACTAAGGGGAAAAAAAGAAACTATAAATCTTTAAAATGTTTAGTTTCTATGCCTCTGGGTCACATACGGTGTTGTAAACCAACATTACCCAGTAAAAAAGGAAAATTTAAGAGAAGACAATCAACTCTAACAGATTTTTCACTATACATATACTTTCTACTATCAATACTCTTGGAAGTTGGGATTTTGAACTGATGTACCTTTTTAATATTTCTTTGAAACTCCTTATGGCGCACAGGTAGCGTATAAAATAACTGTTGTATGCTGACCGTTGTCCCTCTCGGCCGTGGACATGGGCTTTTCTGGACAATTTTCCCACTATGATCAAATACCAGCCGAGTCCCAACCTTCACTGATGTGTGGCAGGTAGAAATGGTTACGTCACTGTAAGAAATTGCCAGGCAGGGCATGACCAGTTAGAGACTCACTGGTGTTGGATGTCACATGTTCTTTTTCTTACTCTGTTCTCTCAAAATTCTCCTAAACTCAAAACTCTCCTAGAAAGATGAAATAATCAAAAAGGTCTAAATAGATAAGGCATCATCATTAAGGCTTGGTACCTACATGACAGTGAAAGAGAAGTTCTATAAGTGCTTTGTTTGGTGAAAGTTTGAACATTTGATTTAGTTTTGTTTGCCAAACTGCAAAACTATAAGAGATCTCAAAATTTATATATTCATAAATACAAATGTATTTGTTTTGATACTATTGTTCTAACAAAACTTTTTTTAAAGGTCTAAAAGAAATTATGATATAAATACATAAATACTTACAAAAAAATAATATCTGTTATGTCACTAGTGCTTCATTTAAAATTTTTCCTAAACAGGGCACAGCAAAGCTGTGCACAGCAAAGCTGGCGGAAGCTGCTTCAGTGGCACAGCAAAGCTGGCAAAGGCTGCTTCAGTGCAAAATCGATCCCCAGCCCCTGAGGTGATCCACATGGCGCGGTAGACCTCTCCATTCTCACCGGCTGTTCCCCTCAGCAGTGTAATTCATCAATCTGCCTGCCTACTCCCCACTGTTTCTGGTGACTTCTTTCACCGCTCCTGCACCTCTTGCCTGTACTCCAGTTCTGCATGCATAAATCTTTAAAAAAAATTCTTTTTCCTAAATATTGAAATAAATTAAGTCCAATAGTAACTATTCTCTATTATCTATAACTTGAAATTTGAGAATTTACTGATCTAATAATGGTAACTTTTTTTTTAACAATACTATTTAGTTCATTCCATTCACTGCTTACATTTCAGAAGTCTGACTACTTAGATTGGTAGTAAGAGAACAAGAATGCAGAAGTTAAAAGTTGAGACATTCAAATGGGAAAGTATAAACAATAATGATCCTAATTATACTTTTTATTTCAGAGATTTTTACAAGAGATCAAATTAATGGATATAGAAAATATTCCATCACCTCAGTGCACAAAGTGAACTCAGAGCTTCCCCCCGAAAGCCAAAAGTTTCAATCTGAGTTAGGTCAGCAAACTCTTGAATCTTAGAAGTGTGATGCTTCAGAGCTGAAAGAGAGGCATAAAGTAAAGCCCAAGATATGGCAAGGGAGAGGTAATGCATTCACACAGTATCTACTGAAGTAACTAGTTTTAAAAAGCTGTTTTTGTGTGTCCTAAGACAATGTTACTCAAAATTCTGACATTTTGCCCAAATACTTTTTCTTTTTTTTTTTTTATTAATAATACCAACAGTTTTAAAAATAGGATTAGAAAATGTAAACTTACTTAGGCCGTCAAAGTTTTCTTCTTCTACCCCACATCCATTGTCTGAAACTTCAATGAGGTCCACCCCATAGTCTTTAAGCCTTAGATCTAAGAAGTTGAAAATATTTCTCAAAAATTGATCCAAGCTAAAAGCTTTTATACTGACAGTATTTATAACTTACATAAGGCAAACTTGAATCATAGCTACACTGATTTAAATGTATAGTTCTCATATGTTTTTATTTTTTAAATACTTCTAGGCCAATTACTAGTTGAGCTAAAGCAGTTCATTTTTCTTTCTTTCAAGAGTACTGCTCTTTTAAAATAGTCATTAAAGAGAACAGGTTCTGGGATCAAATTTACTTGTAGACTTAGAAACCTCAAAAACATTAAATTCCTTGTGCCTAAATTTCCTTACCTGTAACATAACAATAATAAAAATTTCTATCTAATAAGGTTAGTCTGCAGATTGCTATCCCAGCTATAGTGCTTAGCACAATGCATGTCTTATAGACAGTAAGAACACAATAAAAGTTAACTGCCTAGCTTCTACCTAGCTAAGTACCAGGCACATAAAAGGTGTAAGACTTAAGTCGAGAGAGTAACAATTTCTCAGCTTACCAACACTTACTCTCACAGTAAAAAAATTTCATGAATAGTATAACCTGATGAATTCTTAGGGTTTCAAATTCTCCCAAACTCACCAATATTAGTGGCACCAGCATCCAGACTATTTTCTACCAACTCCTTTACAGCAGTGCTGAGACTCAGTATCACTTGTCCAGAACAAATCTGATGGACTGACTTCCGATCAATAGGTCTGATGACCTTAGCACGTTCTGTACTGGAGAAACCGGTTACAAGAAATAAAGTAACTATGCAATTATTTATCTTTATTCTGCTTTAACTGTGGGAAATGATTCACCTTTGTTAATAGTTAACAGGCCTAACATATTAATTTACTATATAAACATCCCCATTTATTATGGCCATAAACCTAAATGCTCTTCTATAATCTTTAAATATCTGTCAAAAAATCTTCCGGGCCTCCTGATGGCCTAGGGATTAAGTCTCAGCTCTGTCAGCACTATGGCCTGAGTTTAAACCCTTGCCTGGTAGCTAAACCACATGGCACAGCAGACCTCTCCTGCTTTGCTGGCTTCTCTTCGCAGCAGTGTATTTCAGTAGATCCGCCTGTTCTGCTCCCCTTTCCGTCTCTGGTGAATCCTCTACCCTCCCAACTCTGGTCTACACCCCAGTTTTTGTAGACAAAAATTTTTTAAATCTTCTGAATATAAACTTAAAATACAGTAGAAACTTAAAGTCTAATTTTACTGAGTTTTACATGAGGGACAAACATAGCCCCTCAAGCCATGGGTCAATAATCATTTGTAACAATAGAACTTCATTCTTGAAAAGTGAAAGCAGTATTTCCCATACAATTTGAAAAACCAAGAGTATGGGTAGCCAGTTTTTATATACCATAGTTTTCTCACTACCACTTCAAGTCCAGGCTTGACAAAGCTTTGCTGACTTAGTAAAAAGATCCCCAATGTTTTTTGTGGCACCTGCTTGAAGAGTTTCCAACAGGTTTGTGTCCAACTTCCCTATTCTATGCCCTTTACCTTGCTACTAACAAGAGTTAATGTCAGACAGTAAATGTTAGGGTTTGGGGCACAAGACGGCTCTTAACAGCATCCTACTGTGTAACATATGAGGGTTAAAACCTAGTCATAACTAGATACCATCTACCTTATTTTCTCAATCTCATCATCATTCTCCCTTGCAAGTTACCCTACAATCTAATCACAGTGAGCTGTTTTGTGAATATCACAAGTTATTTTAGACACTGCACCTTGTCCACACAGGTTTGTCTAGACTGCTCCCCTCTTCCTCTGCCTGGCCAACCCCTCCTCATCGAAGAATGTATACAAGGTATTTATTAATTTAGCAATTTCTAATGAACAGTTTAACCCATAATTTGGGTGTTTTCCAGTTGCTAACATTCAGATAATCCCTTGTAAAACAAAGTAACCACTATCTTTACACATCATTCTAGCTTACAAAGGATTTGACTCGTTTATCTTAAACTCATTTATCTTAAAAGTGAAAACTGCAGATGATACTACTTAACAGAGAGGTATCTAAAAATTAGTTTACCTGGCCACACACCATTGGGCCCACATCCAATGTTTATTTCGAGGAGTTAGGATAAAACATTTAAACGGGCAGCCAATCTGCGTCCTGACACTGAACACAACTGAGTTTGGCGTGACTTAGTAACCAGTCATCACATACTCAATGCCAGAGAAGTACTGCATTTTTTAAAAACTGTGCAGCCATGCAAATGAGGATGTGCCTTGAGACCAATAACGTCAATTTTAAAGAGGCGAGAGAAGCCAGGTAAAACCGAAATGGCCATTCTACTGGGATTTCGCGCTCGGGCGTCAGGTCCTGAAAGTAAGCAGGCGTGTGGGCAGAACCAGAACTGGCAGAACCTCCCACTCCTCCGACCCCGACCCCCAAAGGGCACCCAAGGGGCAGCGGGGCGCGCTAGGGCCTCGGAGCCACAGGCTGGCCACGCGCCGTGGTCCCTCTTCCTCCCTGCCAGGGATCTAGAACGCCGTGGGTCTGAGAGAGAAAGACGGCGCGGGGAGACTGACGCACGGCTCACCTCGGGCCCTCGCCTCGCTCCATGGAGCCAGAGCCCAATCCGCCTCCCGGACTCGGGACAGTTCCCACCCGGGTTCCCACTGGTGCCCGCCTCTCGGTCGTCCATTGGCAGTTTCCACAGAGATGCCCCGCCCCTTCCGGACAGTCCGCCAACGCGCCCCTGTCTTCTTCTCGCTGATTGGCTGCGTCAAAAAGTTGAGTCCGTGACGTTGAGAGAGCCAGGGCCAATTAGATTGCACAGACTGCGCGATTCGGAACGCCCGAGTCTGGTCGGGAAGGAGCTGGCAGCGGTCTGTCGTGGCGTTGGAGGGTTTCTGAGCGCTCGTGTCCCAGGCCGCCGCCCTTCCTCCTTCGGGTCCTGTGATGCCTATGTACCAGGTAAAGCCCTACCATGAGGGCGGCGCATCTCTCCGTGTGGAGCTTCCCACCTGCATGTACCGGCTCCCCAACGTACACGGAAAGACCGGCAGCGTTACCCCCGTCGCGGGCCACGTGCAGGTAGGAGCTCACTGCCCAGTCCCCCACACCACGTCCTCTGCGCAGGCGCCGGGGCTCCGCCTGGGCATCCCCAGCGGCGCACGCAGGCGCCTGCCAGCGGGCCCTGGGCGTGGGATCCGCGGCGGGGCGGGGAGGCCGGGGCCAAGGGCCGACCCTGAGTGACCCTGACTTTTGCCTATTAAAATTTCTGACCCTCTTATTTGTAAACCCCCCAACCCCCGCTTTAAGCTTATGGTTAAACCTTAATTACGACAATACCTATTTTAAGGAATTAAAAGAGGAACCCTAGTGTCGCCACCACCTTGGTTAACACAGTGGTCCCGGACTTCGCGGTGATTCTGCCCTGCTTCGTCTCACCACCTCATTAGGGGTCCCCACGCCGCCGTAGCCTTGTAAACTGGTCGTGTGGTTTGTGTCCTTGTGTCCTGCTGCTGCTGCTTGTGGACATGGCTTAGGGAATCGCTTAGTGTCGTGACAGCAAAGTACGATCCTTGCCTCGGTCCGCTGACCACCCCTACTCGGGTGATGGGGTGCCCAGCAGCTGTTAGGAATCACCCCGCAGGCACAGCTGTGTACCAAGGAATGTGGTTGCTCGGAGGGCAGATCTGTAAAATGTGCTAGAGAAGTTGCTTGCCAAAGTGGTTTTGCCGGTTCTCACCTTGCAGTGTAAGAAAACCAGGTGCCCGCATCCTCGGAGTGTGGGTGGACCCCTCTTGGGGTTCTAGCTTGGATTTCCCAGACTTCCAGATTCAGCCTGCCTTTCATGTTTATTGGTCATTTGGATTGCTTTATGCTTTGATACCTGTTCATGCCTTTCACCTTTTTGGTTACAAATACAGAGCTTAGGTCCCAGGGATGACTCTGTTCTGAAAGAAAATGGGTGAATAGGCCACTTTTGTACGGTTTTTTCACATTGAGTGTGACCCTTTACTTTGCCTTAATAACCTTTGGAAGGGAGGTGGTTAGGTCTGTTTAAATGACCATTGTCTCTGCAGAGCTAAGACAAAGTAGCAGCCAGGTCCCATGCCCCTCAACTGGACAGTTCCATGGAACTGAAAAGAAGCCCAGGGAGGACTGTCACTTCTCATTTGAGACCCAGTTCTTCCTGTCTGCTTGCCTTTTCCTTCCTTCCAACCTACCTTCTTTCTTTCCTTTCCTTTCTTCTTCACTGCCTAGCCTCCCTTCAGTCTTAACTCTACACTTCCGACTTAGAAGACACACAGTTCCACTTTAGCAAATAATAGACCATTCTGATATGGGTAAAGAGATAATGAGAAATCAGGCATATCCAAGGTAAATTAAAGCAACACAAAGAATGAACTGCTGCTTCTAAATACATGTTAACATACAGCAAGTGGGTAAAACAGTGTGCCAGGTCACTGAGCAAGGAACTGGCAGGGACAGCAGACCTGGAGCCTTTGCACATTACCAGGCCAACAAGAGTCACGCTGTGCTCAGGGCTCCTAATCACAGGCCACGTTATCTGGGCAGCCTCCAGTCAGTGTTGGCAGGTGGTGGACTCTGGGTGCTTGGGTGTAGGTGCACTATGGTGACTGCACCTGAAGGGGGAGATGCTGGCCTTCCACACCACTACCAAATGTTAGCCAGTGGTACTTCAAGTAAAAGTTTTAAATAATTAATCCATTAGGTGTCTCTTCGCCCCTGGTTGGGATTTTCTCAGAAAGGAGAGGTGGTATACCCGATACAGGCAGGTTAAGAGATCGGAAGGGTTTCTCGGGAGGGCTGTCACTGAGGAAGATGAGGCTAACCACAGTACAGCCCAGACTGCCGCACGTCTTGCCCGCACGTCTTGCCCGCACGTCTTGCATTCCCCTCACTTCCAGCCAGCACCTAATTACTTCATTGCATGATGAACTCTTTGTTCTTTGTGCCACCCAGCAATCAGTCATCTTACATATCTGTACTGTTTGATCTTAAACAAGAGCAGCGGATGAGGAGAGGTGAGAAGGTGGTGAGTAGCTCAGGGGCAGATAGGAAGGAGTTAGCCAGGGGAGAAGCAAGAGGGACCAAGCGTGGAAGTGCTGTGGCAGTTGGGGCTTAGGGTGTCATAAGAACCCAGAGGACAGTGCAGGGGGGAGAGTGATATGTGAGAAACCAGCGGGGACACAGTACAGCACACAGGGTATGTAGTGAGCCATCGAAGGGCTTTGCTTTTTGTCCTATGAGCCTATATGTGCAAAGGAGAGATGCCAGGATCTGTTGGGTTTTTCCATCACTATGGCTGCCATTGTAGCGATGAAAGATTAGACCAAAAAGGCCACCAGGGGCCCAGAGGCAGTAGACCTGGTGAAAAATAACATCTTGGACTTGAGCAGTGACAGTGGAGACATGCTTAGAGAAGCCCTTGACTCCAGAAAATGGACAGCATCTGCTGATGAAATGGATCAACATGAAAAGGCTGTGTTGAATGACATGGGAGGAGTCATGTTCCCAGGAACATTTAACCTTCCAGCACATGAATTGAGCAGGGGCTCTCCACTGTTCCCCTTGAGTCTGAGTACGTATTTAAAATAAACTCAGGGTCACGGCCATATTCACTGCTGTCTAGTTAGAGGCCTTTTCCGAATGTTGAGGTAGTCTTTATTCTCTGGGCTCACGTGGATTATCTATTGTGAGAGTTCATGAGTCTGGAAGTAGGCTGTACAACGTGATTGTACTGGGAAGTTTCTTATTACTGCTTTTGAAGTAAAGCTGTACAGATTAGAGATTTATTTCTCAGCAAATATTACACAGTTGTTTGTGTACCTTTCACCATGCAAACAGTGCAGACTCAGTGAATGGAGTCTTGCATTGCATATTTATGAAATTCCACATTTCAACAGTGGGAAAATTCTAGATTCTAAGATACAAGAGTGCCAGTAGTGTCTAGAAAATGATTTGGGGAATTGATCATTCGACCCCATGAATAGACTTCCGGGGCACAGGACTATTTTTTTGACCTTTGTGTGTTCCCTTTCCCCATTTCTATATAAATTATCAAGGTGCATTGTCATTGCCCCATTTTACACAAAGAACAATTTTCTATTGTTCCTATCCTTGTCTGTTCTTAGACTGAGGTTACCTAAAATAGTCTGTTTCAGAGTGGGCAAAAACCACACCATTTTTTGCTTGAAGCATCTGTGGACCCATTTGCAGGACCTCTTGGATTAAATTGGTAGACTATGATTCTACTACTTAATTTTAACATTTTAAAAGGTGGGAGGTTTGATGAATTTGTAGATTTAAGTTTTAGATGATTGAATTTAAAAAACATTTTGATGCTGGTTGGTTTAGGAAGAGTCTAACACATCTCTTGAAGCTCTTGAGTCCCGCCAAGATGACATTTTAAAACGTCTGTATGAGTTGAAAGCTGCTGTTGACGGTCTCTCCAAGATGATTCACACTCCAGATGCGGACTTAGATGTCACCCACGTGATCCAGGCTGGTGAGCCTGCTGCATTATCAGCCAGCGCACCAGACTTAAATTCGGTGCTCGGGAAGGTAAGTGCGCTTGGGAAGCTAAAGAATGTCAGCATGCTGTGTTGTTTTAGTGCCAGAAAATTGTGCTGGTACGAGTAAAACCTTGACCTTCTAGTTTTTAAAAGTGGCACAAAGAGGGCCTCTTTCCCCCCTATAAGCGATTTAACCTTTACCCAGAACAGACTTGTGAGCTGTGAGTGAAGCCAGTGCAAGCTCTGCAGCCACTTTCTCTCCCAGACCCAGTGCAATAGAGTTTGGGGACTTGGGGGAGAAGTCAGGAGATGGGGTTCCTGCCATTCTTGCCATTGTGCGACCAAAAACCTCCAATACCTGGAGAAACAGTCTGACAGTGTTTGCTTGGTGCTTTGCTGAGGTTAGGAGTCAGCCCTTACTTTGAGGGTGGCCTGAATTTCAGATTTTTGACTGCGGCCAGGCACAAAAGTTTCACCACTCCCTTAGGAATATATTGCTAAGAGCCCATCATAGTTTCATTTTTTAATGTATTTTTATCTAAAATTATTTGAAGTAGTAACAGATTAACCATCTGTAATAATCTACAGGCCTCAACTAATTTAAAGATTTGTTTGTTTATGCATATAAGAGCTGGGTACAGGCCAGAGGTGTGGGTGGGGATGGGTGAGAGGATCCACCAGAGACAGAGTGGGGAGCAGGACAGGCAAATTAACTGAAGTAAACTGCTCAGGGGAGCAGTGGGCAGGTCAGGAGAGGTCTGCTGCGCTGTGTGGGTCACCTCCTGTACAGGGATCGAACTCGCGCTGCCGTAGCAATGGCTGCAGATAACTTCATAGTGCTGTGCTTTAACCCATTGTGCCACCAGGGAGGGCCCTTCCCTGGTATGCAGAGAAAAAGTATCTTACACCAGAGTAGTGTTTGAGGCTTCAGAAGGGTTTGTCCCAGTAATCTCTGCTCATCCCCCTCCTCTAGAATTAGGTGGCAGCAGTGGCAGGACACAAATGACCTAAAAAGTGAAGGCAGTATTGCAGTATCTTGCCCTGAACTGTTTTCAATACCTCTGCTCTCAGGGGTTTCTTCACCATCCTGTCCACATTCCCATACAGAGGACTCTGAGGCCCAGCTAGCCCCCAGTGCCTGTCTGCCTGTGGCTGAGTCAGTGAGCACAGACAACTATGCTCACACCATCTCAGGGCACTGGGAAGTCTGCCCAGACACGTGGTGCTTAAAAGGAATTTTTATCCTTCGGAAGACGCATCTGTAACAGGATAGTTCTGAGAGCTTAGTGTAGCTCAGTGAAGGGCTCCAGTTGGGGGTGGCAAGCCTAGAGGCCAGATCGTACTGGGCTGTGTACAAAAGGCCAAGGATCTTGGCCTTCATGTTATTCTGAGTTCATTTGTTGTCAGAAGTGAATGCATAGAAATCAGAAAACCCACATGTAAAAGTACATTCTGGTGCATTCACTTAGAACTTCCCCACCTCCCATATCCAGGGCTGTTTTGTAGGGATCTTGACACATACCACAAGTGGATATAGAAACTATATCCTGTCAGGTCAGGTGTTGGAAAGATTTAGTAAGTGGAGTAGTTGCATGTGTGATTTTTCTAACTAAGGGACAGAAGTGTCATCCCATTATGTTTTACTGGTTTGACAGTAAGTTAACTTTGGCTTTGTAAGGAGCCAGCAATGAGTGAGTGGAGCCTGCTCCTGTCCCAGCTCCACTTCTTCCTGAGCTGTGACCTTGGCTAAGTTGCCTTCCAACACTTGATCCTCAGCTGTGAGGCGAGGTAATGGCCCTCCTTCATGGGAGTTGAGGATTTAGTCACCCTCATTTGGTCTGAGAATAGCACCTGCTGCAGTTCCACCCACTCAAGCTGCTCTAACTTGCTCTGCCTGGTTTTCTCACCCAGGATAACGGGGCCCTGAGAGACATAGTGATCAACGCAAACCCTGATTCCCCTCCCCTCTCCCTGCTCGTGCTGCACCGGCTACTCTGTGACCACTACAGGGTCCTGTCCACTGTTCACACGCATTCTGCTGTCAAGAGCGTGCCAGAAAATCTTCTCAAGTGCTTTGGGGAACAGACTAAAAAACAGCCACGCCATGAGTATCAGCTGGGTTTCACCCTCATTTGGAAGAATGGTAAGTGGGGAGGGGTAGGTCAGACGCATGAGAGCATGCGTCATGACTTCATTAGCGGCAGCAAGGGGGTAAGGAGGTACTGTTCTGGGGTGTTATAGCCTCTCAGCTGTTTGCTGTTGGGTTAGCAAAAGGCTAGACTGCTTGGGGCAATTCTAGAAGCAGAGCACAGATATATCCTGACCTGAGATACCCTCCTACTCTGGAAGTTTAGGGTCTCCAATTGAGGGCCCAGCTTTAAGGGGAGGCCCTGTAACAGCCAGAGCAGGAGAGTAAAGCTGTCACAGCCATTTGGCCCTCAGATTCCAAAGCCTGTCACTACAGGGAAATTGATAGTATCTTACAAATGGCCAGAAGAGAATGGCAGGGTACAGTGTCCACTGCTGTGTGCTCTCCCAGTAATTTTATTTGGAGGGCAGTGAGCTGGCCTCAGTCCTCCAGGGTTGCACACTGCACATTAACAGCAGGATGGTTAGATGGACCCAGTTCCCTGGCCTGGGAGCCGGACTCCTGGTTTGTAGTCTTCATCCACCAAATCCTTAGGCACAAGTTGCGTTACATGGTTGAGGTCTGTTTTAGCTTGAAAATTGGCATAATCAAATACCAGAAATGGTTACCCTTTTTAACATGTAGTTATACTAAAACTGCAGTTTAAACTTTTTTGAATAAGAAGCCTTTTGGAGACAGACTGCAAACGTGATTTTCTTGAAGACACCCTCCCCCTCGCCACCAGATCATGCAGCCTAGTGACCCTTCCCCTCCGCCTCGAGTGCTGCTCTTGCTGACATTCCACGGTGTGTTTCCTTTCAGTGCCAAAGACGCAGATGAAGTTCAGTGTCCAAACGATGTGCCCCATTGAAGGAGAAGGAAACATCGCACGGTTTCTATTCTCTCTGTTTGGCCAGAAGCATAATGCTGTAAACCTGACCCTCATAGATAGCTGGGTCGATATCGCAGTTTTTCAGTTAAAAGAGGGAAGCAGTAAAGAAAAAGCTGCAGTGTTCCGCTCCATGAACTCTGCGCTGGGGAAGAGCCCCTGGCTCGTGGGGAACGAACTCACGGTGGCCGACGTTGTGCTGTGGTCTGTGCTGCAGCAGACAGGCGGCAGCGTGGCGGTGCCTGCCAACGTGCAGAAGTGGATGAGGGCCTGCGAGAACCTGGCCCCTTTTAACACTGCGCTCAAGCTTCTCAAGTGCACCTGATTTTAAAGGATTTAAAGAATGGTGCTTTTTCTCTTTGTTGGTAAAGGGACTTGTGACAAAATTAGTCTATTTAGGCCAGTTGTCAAATGCCAATAAAAGCAGCACATCACTTACGGTTATTTTATTTGAAACTGAACATCATGTGCAATGTACCATGGCCGCTGCCGCTGTCAGCACATGGCATACCGAATGAATACATCCCTCCCCGCCTTTGAGGAGTATGGCCTGGCGGGAGTCAGATACTACAAGTAGGAGAGCATACTGTGGGGGCAGTGAACACAGCCAGGAATGCTGATCTCAAAGCTGTTTTGAGATCATTTGGGGCCAAGAAGTAAAAAGCTTTGGAAGGACATGGCTTTGGAAATGATGCCAAGTTGAAGGTGAAGAGAACAGGGATGAGTTGGATGGTACATATGTACTGTGCAAAGTTAAACTTCATCTTCGAGGCAGATGAGAGCCAGCAGAAATTTTTGAACCAGGGAGTGAACCGATCAGGTGTCTTTCCGGGACTCTGGCAGTGGCGTGAAAGGTTAGGAAGACTGGCAGCTGTTAAAACTGGAAGAGTCTAGCTAGTATGAGCTTGGGCAGCAATGGGTGGAAGAGTGCCCAGACTCAGGACTTGGTGGTCAGTCAGCAGAAATCAAAGAGGAGAAAACTGAGGCTAAAGTCTAAACATTTAGTTTCAGAGGCTGGATGGACAGTGATATTAAAACAAGATATCTAGGACTCAGCTTAAGATATCTGGGACTCAAGATATCTGGGACAGCAGAAGGGAGGGAAAGGCAGAATAGGTTTAGTTTGGAGCAGTCTCAAGTTCAAAATGCTAGGTCGTAACAGGACTACAAAGGAAGTTTAGGAGGACTTTTACAACTGCACTTTCATAAGTCTGCTTGTACAGGTTTATTACTAAATGAATCATACCATCTACATACCTATAACGATTGAGAATTTACATTCCAGTTGATTAACTTAGGTACAGCTTAAGTCCACTTTTATGTTTATACAGCTAGCCAGGCACACCACCATCTTTCATGTCATCCTTAACCCCTTTACTTTGAGAAAGAAGGCTTAGCTGCTTCTTCAGTTCTTTGATTTCTTTTTCTTGCTCAAGTATCTTCATCTGTAGACTGAGGTTAACCTGTAAAAAAAATTTTAAGCTGCTTAAAATGGCTTCTCTTGCAAATATATAGGCATGCCCCGCTCTGCATGAGTTCAATATGCATAAAAGGCGGTCACCACAGTTCGAGTGTAAGGTACCACCTACAGTAACTAGTTTCATCAGTGCTTCAATCCACCGATAATGCTGGCCAGGGTCAGGGGCCAGTTACATCTTTCAAAGTCTCCATGTTGTCACTAACACAGCTCTGAGTTCACACATGAGCAAGGTGTGTAGGTGTGTTACATCACTCCTAGTGATAAACCCACCACATTTATTTAAAAGTGGACAACAAGGGCCAACAACAAGGGAAATAATGGACTTCAAAATCAAATCGAATGATGTTCCAAAAGAGAGCTGTGGGACTGCAGGCCCCACCCACCCCATTAAGCTGAATGAAAGTGACTTAGCAAAGGAAATGAGGAAAATAAAGCAAAACTAGCAAAAAAACTTCTCGTTAAATTCAGATAATTCACAATGTCTAAAAGCAAATAATAAAACTGCTCCAACTGAGAACATGCAACAATTCCCCAAGACTGAAAAGATGATTGCTCCTAGCTGAGTCATACAATGAGATGAAGGCCTTGTTTGGGCTACTCAAATTCTCAGTTACAGTGCACTCAGTATGAGTTTTGCATTTTTTTCATTTCCATATCTGTAACAGTCCTGACAAACATTTTAAAGGAACAATCATAACTTTCCCCATTGATTAAGATCCCTCTGCATGACTTGAGCTCTGCATGGTCATTTTTACAGTCCTACATTTCTATGTAAAGCAAGGACTGCCTATAACAAATTTCACCTGTACAGTCTGTGTAGTTTATGTTATAAAAACTCTACAAGACAGGAGAAATCCTTACCATTAATATCTAATAGCTATGCTATTAACATTTTAACTGGAAGTTAAATCTTGTCCTTATGATTCCTTCATAAGTAGAGATGAATTTACTATATGCTATTTTTAAGGATTCAGAAAAATACTACACCTACCTGTACCATTAAGTCTTACTACATGAAATTCACATACTACTTGAAAATGAATAAGCCTTAACTACAAGGTAATTTAATGAGTGGTTCCCAAGCTAGCATGAATCACTTTAAGGGTCTGTTAAAGAAGTTTGCTGGCCCTTTTCTTCCAGATTTCTCTTTAAGAGGTTGGGGGATGAAGGGAGAAGAGGGAACAGGCTGATCATTGTACCAAGTTTCCAGTGACTTTACAGTGCTTCAGGAACAACTGTGTTGCTGTGATGCTGCTCAAACACTTAAGTCACTTGGGTAAGTGGTCAGATTAAATGTAGATTCTAACCCAGAGTCTATGTTTCTGACATGCTCCTGGGGTGTGTGGATGCTGCTGGTCCACACCTGGGGTAGCAAGCACTAGAGAATTTGTGGACACATCTTTGAAATGAGCTTACTTTAAATCTTAGAAAACTTCTAAAGGAGAGGAAGCATGTGTGGTTGTTCCCAGTACATGCAAACTAGAACTTGTATTCGGCACTAGCACGAGAGGAAGGAGGAGAGGAAAGGGAAGTGGCTACCCTGGGACACCACCACATCCCAGGACTGAAAATGGGGGTCACACACTTGGAAGCTGGGAAACAGGAGATTGGCTACGCAGCCTCTGTGGCTATTCTTCCAACTTTCCTGAGAATTACTGTCAGCCCTCTGTCTCATATACACACACATCCCTCTCCAAATAGGTATGTTATGATCATTTCTGAAAAGTATATACTATAGTTGCAAAGGAAAAATAAAACCTTTTGACTTTGCAAGAGGAGGCTAGAAACTGAAGTTTATAATTACACTTTTTGGAGCAGTTGATAATGATATATTCTTGCTTGGATGATGAGAACAAGTATGCTACTGGAACTCAGAATGGATATGAGTATTTTGTTTCCATATTATTCTAAGTTCAAGTGTTCTTTACACAATCAGAGTTACAACTTAAGTTCAATCAAGTTTCACATCCTCCCCATCATTGAAAAACAGATACATACATTTCCAGGTTTTTGGAAAAGTTCACTCTGCAGCAGCTGAACAGCAGATGGCCTCTGGGATGAGTTCTTTCCAGTTAACTGCTGGATGTACTTGGCTTGGACAGGACACCTTTTGCTGAGGGATTCAGGTATTTGCCCATTTCTTAAGCCTGTTAAGACTTGTGCTCGTTCCATTTCAGTTCCAAATGGCTGAAAGAGCTCTAGCAGGATCACACCCAAGCTGTACATATCTGACTGGAAAAAGGGGGTTGGCGGGAGGTAATTTAGTAGTGCAACACAAAATGCATTCAGTGCACCACCCACTCTAGAGGAAGGATGACACCCAGTCTCTACAAAGGGGGCACACAGTGGGCCGGGGCATCCCTTAGAGACCAAGGTCTGCTGCTAGCCCCGTGGCCCTAAGCCCAAGGTGAGCAGACTGTCACAGGCCCAGCTCTCCAAGCAAACACCAGCATCCATGGGACAGCACTGGTGGCCGTGGGAGCGGCAGGGACAGCCCTCCGCCACCTGCAGCAGTCACTCCTCCGGATCTGGCTGTGGCTACATGGGATGTCACGCAGACGCCAGTTACACAGGGCCACAGAGTCCCTGGCACCGAGGCTACTTTCACCTCCACCAAGAATGCTGTGAATTGGAGGGAAAGTTTAATAAACTGCATGCAATCTGTGTTACTTTTCCTCAAAATAGTATTTTTTGGGAGGTCCTTTACTAGATAGGATTTTAGGGGCTCCCATGATTTTTTCCCTGGAAGTTCTTTCTCAATCCTTTAAAAAAAAAAAAAAAAGCCTGAATGGTTCAAAGACAAAAATTTTCTAGGCTGTTATTTTTTTTAAAAAGGATTTACTTTTGCATTTTTTCAAGGACTTTAGATTAAAACTTTTCTGCTACCCTCATTCCACTTCAAAGGGAGGTAAGTGTCACCCTACCCTATATTTACCTATACCTGAAGATTGAAGGATGAGAGAATGAAATAGGTTTCTCTGACTTCTACCACCCTGAGGTGAAAAAAGAGGTTTTAAGGGAAAGTTCACTTCAAAAATAATTGTGACAGTCACGGATTTCACGGGTTTAGAAACAGTGAAAGCAGCCCATCACCAATGCAATCAGGTTCTGTCTAAAAGTGAGGCTTCCCTAATTCAGTCTGACATACAGGTAATATACAGAACCGTTCTCTCCCCAAACCCCTCTCCAGGGGAACTGCCACTGCATTTATTATACTTTTTGTTACTTATAACCACAGGTAAGTCCAATCAGCCGGTAAGAAACACTACCTTGGCATCATACTCGGATCCTTCCAACTGTTCGGGTGAGGCGTATAGACAGGTGCCCACTCTGGAAGTGTGTGCTGCTGTTCCTGTTATTAAAAAAGTGAAACAGTAAGCGCTGGGCATTCTCCACTGTCAGCAACAAAGAACCCCAAATCTGAGCATGGGACTGGCCCTCCCAGGAGGTGGGAACTGTTTTTTGTTTCTGTTACCTTTACAATATACTGAATCTTTATGATTCTCTTTAGTGACATGTTCAGGGTCCTCCCTGATGGCACAATGGGTTAAAGCTCAGCACTATGGAGATCTCTGCAGTATGAATTCAATCCCCAGCCAGGGAGATGACCCACATGGTGCAGCAGACCTCTCCTGAACCACCCACTGCTCCCCTCAGCAGTGTATTTCAGTGGGTCTGCCTGTTCTGCTCCCCACTCTGCCTCTGGTGAATCCTCTCACTCCCTCACTGCACCTCTGGCCTATATCCCAGTTCTTGTATGCATAACTAAATAAATCTTTAATAAATAAGTAAATAAATACTGACATCTTCAGTGGTGTATTTTAAATGCAAACAAACAAAAACACCCGCCCACCAAAAAAGTCTTACTCTTTCCATTCCTACTGGTCCAGTCTGTGTTCTTCTGAATGATGTCTGTGCAGGCCAGACCAAAGTCTCCTATTTTCACTTGCTGATCAGGGCCATGAAGAAAAATATTTCTGGGCTGTTAACAAGAAGAACAAGTCAATTCCATGGTATTCTTAAAGTAAGCAGTAAAATCTATGGATAGCAGGAGTTTTCAACTCAGGAGCAAATAAGTATGCCCCTTCAAAAATTAAGAATTAGAGCAATGGTTCTCAAAACAGGACAGAATACTAGAATCACCTGGCAAGCTTTAAAAACCCCCATGTCAACCCATTTCCCAGACCAATTAAGTCAGAATTCCTAAAGGTGAACACAGGCATCAGTATTATTTAAAAGTCCTCATTTCAAGTCTGAGAACCAGGAATGTAAAGCCTATCATGCACAAATTCTCAATACCGAAACAACAAAATCACCAAGAGGCTTTTAAAAATTACTGTCAAGATTTGCCCAGAAGATGCTGGGCTCACCTCCTCCAATACAACTAAAGCTCTGTAGAACAAAGCCCCAAATCTCCTGAGGGACAAAGACACCCACACCTACACTAGGAGCACCAGACCAGCAGAAAGTGGTAGGAAAAACTTGAAGTAAACTCTGTTCAGAGTGGTAAAGGGACAGTTCAACGCACAAGAGGAAAGAGTAGGTGTGGTGCAGAGACCCAGCAGCCACCAACTCAGGCACAGATCAGGGCGCCTGAGAACCAGTGCTGACTAGGTAAGGGGGTGAGCAAACAGGCACCCAGGATGCAGGGTGCCCTGCTGGAGATCAGCCGAGGTGACGGCAGAGAGCAGGACCACCGACTGAGAACAGCTGCAGTCTCAATCAGCTCAGAGTACCTGGACTTCCTTCAGAAGAGGTTACTGGAAGCCCAAGCTGAGAATCTCAAAACACCTGTCACCCCGCCCCACCCCCCCAGGGCTAAAACCCAACAAAGAAACCCTTGAACTAGAGCACAAATACCTACAAACAACAGGAGCAAACACCCCAGAATAAGACTCTTGTGATGGACAAGAGAACAAATCCCTGCTCCCATATCAACTACAGCCCATGCCTAGCTCTGCATCTAGTTGCTTAAAAATTCTGTATAGTGAAGTGGGCACAAGAGTATGAGGTACTAAGACCCAGGAGCTGGCCCAAGGGAGGACAGCACTTGGATCCTCACTGCACAGTCCCAGTACCCCCAGCACTGCAGGAAATTCAAATTACTGCCTTTCCTGTAGTGACCCTTTGATGCACTGCTGCTTTGGTCTCCTTTTATACCAACTTACCCCTCACTGGTTCTAGTCCTCAAATTACTTCAACAGGTGCAAAAGCAACAGTATGAAAATCTATCCCAATTAAAATAAAGACCCATAAAAAATTAAAAAACAGAACACATTACAAGTGCCAGAAAAAAAACAAAACCCCAAGTAGAACACCAGGGGAGTTCAGGGAAACAATTCTGGCAACACTTAAGGAACAGGACAAAAACAAAACAAACAAACAAACCAGCCTAGAAAACAATAAAATAAAGGTAAGGCAAACATGGGCAGCTACAATGAGTAGTAACAGCTCTAAGAAACAGCTCTACATTAGTAGTAACAGCTTCTTCTATATCTAGGAAAAGAAGGAACCTACCTCAATAAAACAAGGGCTATGGCCCTCTCTGGTGGCACAGCGGGTTAAAGCACAGCACTGAGAATCTAAAGCCACTTCCGCATAAGTTCGATTCCCACCTGCCCCAGAGGTGACCACATGGTGTGGCAGACCTCTCCTGACCCGCCCGCTGCTCCCCTCAGCAGTGTACTTCGGAGATCTGCCTGTTCTGCTCCCCACTCTGTCTCTGGTGGAGCCTCTCACCGCCCCTGAGCCTCTGGCCTGTACCCCAGTTCTGTGTGCACAAATAAATAAAATTAAAAAAAAAAAAAAAACAAGGGCTATGTATCACAAATCAACAACCAATATAAATCTCAATAGTGAAACATTAAAACTTTCCCCTTAAGATTAGGAACAAGTCAAGCATGCCCACTGTCATCACTTCTGTTTACCAGAACTATCAAACATAAAAGGAATCCATGCATGCTGAAAAAAAAGTGGGACCATCCCTAACTGCAGCCCTAATTACAGCAGCCAAGGGTATGGAGACAATCTAAATGAACAAGCACAGAGGAATGAGTGAGGAAACGCTGCTGTTCCACGCGGCAACAGTGAAGGTGTTTGGGTACTCAATCCCTATGGCAAGGAAATTAAAAACAAAATTAAACAGTTAAAATTACCTCAAATTAAAAAAACTTCTATTGAGTGAAAGAAAGTATGTATGACAAGTAAATAGACACCTATTGAATGGGGGGAGGGAGGATATTTACACAGTATTTAACTGGTAAGGGGTCAATAGCCAAGATATATAAAAAGCTCCTATAATCCAGCAATAAAAATAACCCAATTAACAAAGGGCAGCAGTTATGAATAGACCATTTGCCAGTGAGTATATCCAGGTTAAAAAACCTATGAAAAAATGACCATTGTCACTTCTAGTGAACGAGATGCAGATTAAAACTACAATGATAGTCAAATAAGCCAGAAAGAAAAGGAAGAATACCGGATGGTTTCACTGATAGCAGGAGTATAACGGACCAGGCGAGAAAAGAATAATAATGAACAGCTATAGATCAGAGGCATTGTATGGGGGTGGAGTGGGGAATGGGGTCAAAAACAGTGGAGGGAAGGAAATTCACTGGACTATGGTGATGGCACAGGGTGATTTGGTGATGGGAAGCCTATAGGGAGTACACCTGAGATGAAAAAATGCACAAAATGATGTAAAAATAAACTATTATATAAAAATAAATAAATAAATAAAAAGTCCTAACTCGTGGTAAAAAAAACTACAACGAGATGTCACCTCATATCCCCGAGAACAGCACATGTTAAAATGACCCCTAAAAAGTGCTGGAGAGAATGAAGAAAAAAGACCCATCACACTGTTGGTAGGAATTTGAACTGGAACAAGCACTGGAAATGCATCTGGATCTATCTTTAACAACTAAAAATGGAAATACATACAACCTGGCAATCCCCCTCTTGAAGGTCTATTCAACCAACAACAACAAAAAACCATTCGCTCCACGCTGTTCACAGCAGCTTGATTTACAACAAACAGAACACAGAAGCAGCTTAAATGTCCACTGGCGGAGGCTCTAATCAAGATGTGGTGTATACACACCATGGGTCCTTCACAGCCACGAGAAGTGATGAAATGCAGCTACTACCAACACAAGGAGGGAACTGAGAGAATTATGTGCAGCAAAGTGAGAATGACAAAAACTGGACATTTACAAAGCAGACAATTCAGTAACATAAGACACTGAAAACCCAGTGGACATCAAAAAACACCCCGAGGGCTCTGAGATTAAGAGGAAGGGAGGTGAAGGGACTGGGGCTATAAGGGACGATGGCGGGGAAAAGCAATCTTAGAAAAAAAGAAAGTAGTAACTGATGTTGAAAAAAGTACTATTAACAAAAATAAGAATTCTGGTTTCCTCCATCAAGTCAGAATTTGATTATTTTTCATAATTAAAAAAAAACTTGGTGTTTTTTAAGGCTCCCGATGATTCTTACATGTTTGGCAGAGTTGGGAACGACTAGGTCACATTATGAAAGTACATTTAGCTCTCAACAGCCACATAAAACCAAAAGTCTCCCAACAGAACAATCCCAGTGATCATGAAACACTGCACCTATTTAAGGGGAAGGGAGACAATCCATTAAAAAACTGAAAATACAGAGATTAAAATGTGTGCTTTCTTAGCTTTAAATGTAGTAATGTGAATTTTTTATTTTGATGTATAATGTGTTGTTCTAGCTCTGTGTGAATTATAGCTGAATGGGAAGAGAAAACAGAGATAATTTATGTGGAAGATGCTAATTTGATTGAACAAATTTTTTCTTTTGATTTTGACTTGAGTAAAAGGTCCCAAAAACTGTGCTTCTTATTTGGCACTACATGATATGGAGACAAATTTTAAAATTTAGATTCTGATATAAAAATGAAGTGTTTTCCCTGTTTGGAGGTTCGTCAAACTGCTAAACATGGAGCTTCCTTACGACCCAGCAATCCCACTCCTAGGTACCTACCCAAAAGACACAAAAATACTGATTGAAAAAGATACCTGTACCCCCATGTTTATTGCTGCTTTATTTACAATTGGAAAAACATGGAAGCAGCCCAAATGCCCAAAAGTAGATGACTGGATAAAAAAGATGTGGTACATATATACAATGGAATATTACTCAGCAACCAAAAAAGAGAAACACATGTCTTTTGCAACAACTTGGATGGAACTGGAAAAGATCATGCTTAGTGAGATAAGCCAGAAAGAGAAAGAAAAATACCGGATGGTTTCACTCATTGCAGGAGTATAATGGACCAGGTGGAAAATAACAAAAATAATGAACAACCATAGACCAGAGACATTCTGTGGGGGTGGAGTGGGGAATGGGATCAAAAACAGGGTGAGGGGGAGGGAAATGCACGGGATTATGGTGATGGCACATGGGTGACTTGGTGAGGGGAAACCCACGGGGATTACAATTGAGATGGGAAAAAAATGTACAAAATGATATAAAAATAAACTTTTGTGATAATTAAAAAAAAAAAAATGAAGTGTTTTCCTGGATACGATTCTCAACAATTCTAGAATAGTTCTAGAATCGAACTGAAGGAATCATAGAGACTCAAACTGACTGATACCCTAGCAGTTTCCCTGAATCTTAAGTCTTCATTTTTAAGTCTTTTCTTCATGGGAAACATAACCAAGAAAGGCAGCAGGGAGCTGGTCACTGACGGGGCCAAGTCACTGGAAGACGGCCCACTGGTCATGCTTCACACTAAGCTCTATGAAGCCATCATGAGGGAAGACTGCACTTCCATCCAGGCACTCCTGAGGTGCCATCCTGTCAACCAGCCTATGACCATTCTGGCCAACTCCACCAGCTACAGGTTACTTCTGAATCAGGTACCCTCTTTTCTGTTCAGTCACTTCAGAAAAAAGATGTTTCCTAATGAACACCACCTCGTCCTTGAGAACTCACCCAACCTCCACTGCCCTCGACTTGTCTGAGGCTCAAGGTCTAGCACACCCCCATCCAGAGCAGGGCTCTGAATGCACACTCCTTCCCCCTCTAGTGACACACAACCTGATGCAAGAGAAGATTAAAACTCATTTGGTTAGGACATTAATGTTATCCTCCAAACATAACAATGATGACTTCTCTGTGTGATGGAATTCTTTTCCCCCCCCCATTTTTACAGACTTACTTTTTCATTTTCTACAGTGACCTTTATCTTTGTAATTAAAATGCTTTTCAAAAAGCCACCCTCTCCCCCAAACCACTCTTCTCCCTTATCCTGAAGTCATGCTGTAAAGTCACTGCTCAGATACATCTAGCTTTCAGTAACTGGTATAAACAGCTCTGCGAGTCAGAGCTAGAAATATGTTGTATTATCTCTGAAATCCAGAAAACTTAAAAAAAAACCACCTAGGTTTTACTATTTCTACTGATTCTATAACTTTGTCAAAGCTTTTAAAAACATAAAACCTACTTGGAGGTCATCCTATGTGTTAATTTTAGGATTCAGAGACTTAATATCTATTAACTTTATACTCTTCACAGATTCAACTTCAACACTTTCGCTAAGTCAAAAGCTTCTATCGTCTTGGCAAATTTAGTTTTATGTAAAACACTGATTTTGTTAAGTTGAAATTCATTGGTTTTAGGTCACTTAAAACAGGCAAAAGAAAATGAAAATGTCAAAGCACATACCAGAAAAAATTTTGAAGCAATGACATGCTAAATACACTTCTTTCCTTTGAAATGGCAAGCTAAGACAATAATTATTTCTAACTATAGAAGGCTACTTGCTCATGCTATTTGGTTTGTCCCCTGAAGCAGACACAGTCCATCATCCCCATTCACCTGGCTGCTGAATACCGCAAGGCACAAAGTTTGCTTTGTCTGTTAGAACATGGTGCCGACCCAGAAGTCAGGTAAGTTAACAGGTGATCTCTTCAAAAGGAGAATTAAACAGGAGTTACAGACAACAAATTCTCATGTTTTGAATGAACCAATTTTCACTGCTAGATAAGGTACTATGAGAAATTGGGAGTTATGCAAGAATATAAATTAATCAGTCCATTTAAAGCTTTCTCAGTGTTAAAACTCGGCAATGATGATGTGAAAAATGCATTAAACCTTGGTTACAGCCATCAGAGAGCTTAAAAACCTGTTAGGTATGAAAAATAAAACACAAACAAGGAATGGATTTATTACCATCTACTAGAAGGAATACTTCATGAGAGAAGTTTAGTTTACCAATGTATCTTCACCATCTAAAACCAATGCCTGCTACTCAGTGCCCAATAATACTTAGCTAATATGTGGGAACAATTACAGGTATAAAAATAACAGAACTTCTTGTCTCCATCACATGAAAAGAAGTTCAGCCCCAAACCCTTAATACTACACCTGAACAGGCCTGCTCTCTCCTCCCCCACACACACCACCCTGTTTTGCAGGTCCTCTCTGTCTTTTCATGACTGGACCATGTCAGACTCTGCCCAACTTCCCCAAGAGTTCCTCAGTACACCCCTTCCTAGGTTCAGCTGTTCAACGTATGTCTCTTCCCCATACTAGATATAAGCCCTTCCAAGGTGAGAACATATTAGGTCTTGTATTAAATAAATACTTGTGAAGTAAAAACTATTTTCCAATGTCAGAGCAGTTGGATTTTCATAATAAACCTGCCCCTTTTTTCTGCCAAAATAAAGGAATTTTGGAGGCAACCTTGAGAGATTACACAGTGGAGCAGATGAGGGCCAAGGGGTAAAACACTCGTTCCACCTGTGTTGGGAGAGAGCATGAAGTTGGGCTGGCTTCCCTAGTTTCAGTGACTACGTCTCCAGACTCAACCTGGCGAGCAACTCGGCCTACATATGACTGAAATCTCAGGTGGCAGAGCAGATGCTCGCTAAAAGCTGTGTCCGTGGGGGTTCTGGCTGTATGGCTCACATCTAGGGCGATACCACAGCATACCCAAGTCCACACAATTTGACTGAATGTCTGTTAACACAGTTCAGCACTGAGTGAGATTCCAGGGTACAGAAATAACAAAGGTCCTTGAAGAGGCCACGGTCCTAGCAAGGACTGTGCAATAGGAAACTGATATAGGAAACTAGACCCCACAGTGCTATGATGCACACCACCCTCTCTCCCCAATGCTGTGCTAGGCTGAGAAATGAAAAGCAATGCAGATTCTCAAACGCTTCTTTAAAGTAGTTAAGAGGGATTACTTTAAAGGTTGCTTTCTTAAGCGTTAATTCTTCATATCAAAACTATTCCGTTGTGAATTCAGTGTAATCTCTGATCAATACCTATTTCAGAGACACAAGAGGCCTGACCACACTGCACCTGATGCTACTACACTGGCCAATCACTTCAACCACGTGGACAAAACCAGGGGACAGAATCCAAAGGATCCTGACCGATATTCAGAACAACGCTGTAACGTGTCTCCGCATCTTGTGTGAACACGGGGCTCAAGTGAATGCTCGAGTAGACAATAGTAACAAACACTCACCCCTCCACCTGGCCATAACATATGGGACCTATCCAGTTCTTTCCATTCTGGCCCAAAACGGGGCCCATGTCAATGCTATTAATGAATCAGCCATGACGCCCCTTCACATGGCTGCAGATATACTGAATAAGGAGATGATAGAAACGCTAATTGCCTGTGGAGCAAACATTAACTGTACTGTCTCTTCTACGGGGAACACAGCCCTTAAGCTGGCGGTGTGCACTGCATCAAGCAAGGCAGGCCGACTGCTAGCAGCAGGGGTGAGCTGCATCCGTCTGCTGCTTATTCACGGAGCCAAAGTAAATGCCCAGGACCACGAAGGTCAAACGGCTATCCATGAGGCTTGTTTTGGAGGCAGAGAGGCAATAATCAATCTCTTGCTTGAATTTGAAGCAAATGTCAATATCTTAACAAGAAACGGGGAATCTCCATTATATATGTACCTTCAGCGCAGTTCCAACATAAGAGACACGGCTCTGCTGGCCAGTCTGCTATATCGCTCTTACCCTCTGAGACTGACCAACAACCAAGGGATCCTGCCTGCAGGGATCATGCTACCAGAATTCTACCTCTTAAGGGAAACTCTAGTAAAGTTAGCTCAAAAACCCTTGTCCCTAGAGGATATCTGTAAAAGAAACATCAGAAATATTTATGGAGAGAAATACAAACAACACTTGAAGCAACTTCTCCCAGTGAAGCTATGGAATTCTGTATATCATTATCATGACTTGGCTTACCTCTTGAAATAAGAAATCAAAGTTTCAAGGTGCCATTGAATTTCATTAATTCAAACTGCATTTTCTGGTTCTATATACCCAGAGAATACTTAACCCATCACCTGGTACATCCCAAATGTGCAAACTATTGGCTTATAAACCTTTTCAAAAATAAACTTATTTGCATATATAAACTTTTTGGTCCTAAATATCCTTTAAGTACATTTTCTGTGATTTAATTTTTGCCCCCAAATAAGCAAATTTAAAAACTTTTCAAGGTAAATTTATTTTCTTTCTTGATAGTCTTTTGCAGGTAAAAATAGGAATGTCATTACAGATTTTTAAAGTAGCAAAAAAAAATCCCATTTTAAATTTCCTCTAAACTGGATAATAGAAACAGATTTAATGTAAAGGATGCAGTAATATCTCTGCATTTCTGTCAGTAGTAAGTGCATCTGGCATCATCAGTTAAATTAGTATTCCACACATGGTCTAAAAAATGGTGCTAATGCCCCACAGAGTATTTTCAAATGCCTGAAGAGTAGTGCTTTCAAATTCAATCTAAAGATTTCACTTCTGTACCTATGCAATAAAGAGTTACATAAAAGTAATAATAGTTTCCTAAGTAAATGAACTAGGGGAATCTCATTTAATCTAATGACCCAACACCATGTCTTCCCTGACTAGCTACTGCCACAGCTTTCCATGACTTCCTTCCCACTTACCTTCAGATCTCTGTGCACAATTCCCATGTTATGTATGTAAAACACACCTTCCACCAATTCTTGGAAGATTTTTGTTGCAACACTGGCCATAACATAAGGACCTTGAAATTAAAAAAAAAAAATGTTTAGTTCTCTAATCATTTTTAACATATAAATGTTAAATGTAGTTCTAAATACATTAACATCTGGCACTGATCCATCATTCAGATTTCCACAAATATCAACACTCCAAAAAGAATTTCAAACCTAGAGATTTGGGGGGCCTCCTCAGTTAGCCAAGAAGCCATCACAAACAAGTACCCAAAAGAGGGACTTTCTGTCAACAGAAAGTGAGACCCTCTAATTGCATTCCCAGCTTTGTAAACAATTCTCAGGCACCCAGTACTCGTTAGATTAAATTACATTTAATCCTCTTCAATTCCTAACATCCTGAGTCTGGCACTAATTATATCTGGTATTCTTGCTCACTATGGATTAAAGACATTTTAACAAACAGAATAAGAACAAAATAGATTATGCTGGCCCAAGGGATGAGGTGCCAGTATCTGGAAGACTACGCTATGGGGGAGGAGCAAATGAATTAATTCCACTATTAACATAATGGCTTATGTGAGTTTACAGGGTGGGGAGGTTTTGTAAGACTAAATCGAAAATAGGTAAAGAAAAAAGTGCTGGCATTTTCCAGTCAAGTGAGTTTAGCAATAGCACAATAAAAACATAAGCAGGCCGTAATTGTGAAGGCTACTGTTTGGTTTACCTTCTGGCACACCACTCCCTCTTCAACTGCTGTTATTCATACAGGCCACACTCGCCTTCTACACTGTATAGTGTGTGATTCAGGGACCTCAAGGACTTTGCCTTTGTGTGTGTGCTCATGTGCGTGTACACATAAAGGCTCCATCTGTAACTCCCTCTAGTGCGACTGCCCCTCACATGCAAGTGCCTAACCATCTATCTGGGTGCATGCAACAGGAGGACTTTGTGAAGTTCACACCTATCAGAACAACTGTGTTCCTGTGCTCTGTCTTTAAAGCCAGTGGTTGTCATTTCAATCCACCTAATGCAACCAAATGTAGGCAACTGTTGAAGGATGCAGACATTACACACAGGTCTGATCCAGTGAGAGGTTTTCCTTTACTCCCTGCAACATGCTTCGCACTTAATGCTTTAATCCTCACCCTATAAAATGGAATTGACTGACATTTTTATAGGCGAGGAAAAGACTAAGTTACCTGAATTGCCCCAAACCATAAACCTATTGAGTTAGGAGTCAAACTCAGATCCATCACTCATGGGATTATTGGGCACGATTAATGTAATTGGGCTCTCCTTGGTGGCGCAATGGGTTAAAACATAGCACTATGAAGCTATCCTCAGCCACAGCAGCACAAGTTCAAACCCCAGCCAGGGAGCTGTCCCACATGGCACAGCAGACCTCTCCTGTCTCGCCCACTGCTCCCCTCAGCAGTGTATTTCAGTCACTCTGCAGGTTCTGTTCCCCACTCTGTACCTGGTGAATCCTCACTCCCTATACCTCTGGCCTATACCCCAGTTCTTATATGCATAAATAAACACATAAATCTTTCAAAACCAGCAGCAACAAAAAATACTACTGTCCTTTTCTAAAAGACATCTGCACATAGCACTACCATGCTTATGCAGAACACAGATTACACCACTTTAGAGGGTCCTGAAAATACCCTATTACTTGCCACGAGGAAATGAACACAGTCCTCTGCACAGTGAACTACAAGAGCCCCGGCGAGGAAGCGCACGGAGCTGCCGGAGGGAGGCATGTGTCCGACAGAAGCTAGCCTAAGATTCTGAGTAGGTTAAGTGACCTACATTTCAGACAAAATAAAGGATTTACAGTGTCCCTAAGAGTCAAGAGCAAATGATTAATGATCAATAGCTGAGTCTATGTAAAAACAGGTCATTCAAATCCCTTATTTCAATATTCTCATATGATGATTTTCAACTTCAGCTACCCACTCAAATCAACAGAAATTAAAAAAAAAAAATCAATGGTCAAGCTCTACACCAAGGAAAAATTTAAAAATTTACGATGTGTTCCAAAACAATATCCTTTTTTAAAACCAGATTTACAGAAAAACCGAAAACCCATCCCCAAGCTTCCCTATTTAACACCTGACATAAGCATGGTGCATCTGCCACAACTAAGAACCAAATGATGACACAGTCCATAATTTATTTCAGTTTCCCTAGATTTTACCTAATGTCCTTTTTCTGTCCCAGGATTCCATCCAGGATATCATATTACATTTAGTTGTCATGTCTCTTGAGGCTCCTCTCATCTGTGACAGTTTCTCAGACTTTTCCTGTTTATGATGACCACCTTAATAGTTTTGAGAAGTGTTGGTCAGGTGTTTTATAGAATGTCCCTCAAGTGGGATGCTCTGGCATCTTTCTCATGACTAGACTAGGGTTATGGATTTGGGGGAGGGGCACCACAGGGACACAGCATTCTTCCATCTCATCAAGGGCCCATATTAGCAGCATGAATTGTCACTATTGAGGTTCACCTTGACCAGTAGCTGAGACCACAATAAAGTTGTTCTTTTTTATTGATGGCATCCTTTTAAATTTTCCCAGGTGGTACCAATGTGCAGCCCAAGTTGAGAACTAGTGTTACAATTTAAAATCATTAACACATCTATTTATATTTTACTGTCCAGAGTCTAGATCTTGAGGGAGATAAACTTTTCCATACCCTTCTACAAAGGTTTCTTTAAAGATTATCTTTTTGTAATAACATTATACTTCAGGTTAAAACTATAAACAATTAAGTTTTTTTCCTTAAAAAATGTTTACCAGTGGATGGCCCTCCCTGGTGGTGCAGTGGGTTAAAGCACAGCACTGAGAAACTAAAGCCACTCCCGCATGAGTTCGATCCCCGCCTGCCCCGGAGGTGACCACATGGCGTGGCAGACTTCTCCTGACCTGCCCGCTGCTACCCTCAGCAGTGTATTTCGTCGATCTGCCTGTTCTGTTCCCCACTCTGTCTCTGGTGAAGCCTCTCGCCACCCCTGAGCCTCTGACCTGTACCCCAGTTCTCTATGCACAAATAAAATGAAAAAAAATAGATTAAAAAAAAAAATGTTTACCAGTGGAAGGCTAATAGCTTATGCAAAAGATTATAATTTCAACTTTTTAAATTAAAAAAAAAATTGGGGGGACATTTTCTACTCAAAATCATTAACAAAAATTCCAGCTTATTAGCACTTGAGAAAAAAATCAGGGCCCTCCCTGGTGGCATAATAGGTTAAATCGCAGCACTATGAAGCTCTCCAAAGCCACTGCAGCACGAGCTTAATTACCTACCAGGGAGTGGACCCAGATGGCCTGGCAGACCTCTCCTGTCTCGCCTGCTGCTCTCCTCAGCAGTGTATTTCAGCCAATCTGCCTGTTCTACTCCCCACTCTGTCTCTGGTGAATCCTCTCACCCTCCCCCACATCTCTGGTCTCTACCCCAGTTCTTGTATGCATAATAAACCAATCTTCAAAAAAAAAATCCACAAGCTGTATTGTCTGTCTAGCACAGAGAAAGTTAATTTCCAAATACTTGTTTGTCTTTGAGAAATGGAGAAAATAGCACCATTATGTTTCTGGGTTACCAAAATGACTTTCTCCCCACAATCTAAATCCCCGAAGGCCAGTCCTCCACTAGAAGCAGCAGCTCTGACTGCATCTTTATTTCCCATGACGGGATCTGTAGACCCAGATTTACTCACACGCAGATTCATCCACGCATTCCCGTCCCCGCTTGTTTCTCTCCACTATCCAGTCCCACAGTGAGAGCTCACACAGCTGCATCTGGATGTGTAACATCAGGTGGTACTTCACCTACGGCACAACACACTAACTTATCCACATTGCTCTTAGTCAAAAATTCTCACTTACCTACTTTAAGCCAGGCACTGAGCTAAGCACTGAGGACAGAGACACAAAGGCCTATGCAAGAAGCCCAAAGTCTAGTGAGACACAGAACAGTAAGGCAATGCAGCTGAGTCGCTGAACAGTGAAGGACTTAAAGGAGCTGATGCCCCAGCCCCACCCTATGGGCAGTCAAAAACCTGCATATAACTTTTGACTCCCAACTAATAGCCTGTTGTTGACCAAATACCTTACAAATAACAACCAGTTAACACGTTTAGTTACATATATCCAAATTTACATCCTTACAGTAAAGTAAGCTAGAGAAAAGTTACTAAGAAAAAAGGAAGTGGATCATGATAAAAGCCTTCATCCTCATTGTCCTCATCTTGAACAGACTGAGGAGGAAGAGGAGTTGAAAAAGATCTGCCTTTAAATGGACCTGCACAGTTTACAACCCTGTTGTCCAAGGGTCAACAACAATTAGAAGGTGTGTCATGAGCTGATCTGAGTGGGCAAGACAGGCCTGGCTAGAACTGGGCAGGCCTCAAATGAAAGCATCCTCAGGGTGACCCTGAGGCACTGGGATTGAAAGTGTTTTATCTGATCAAGACAGAAAGTATGTGAAAGCAAAGATGAAGCATCAAAGAAAGGCCATATGGTATTCTGTTACTGTCTTTATACCCCAAGCATATGTACATACTTTGGCAAGGAAAATGTCAGCAAAAACAGCCCATTTATTTGAGCACCCAGGAAATTTTTCCAAATATAACATATGCTATATATTATATAATATACAATACAGAGAAAAAAAATGATTTATTAAAAGAAGTCCCTTAAACTCAATTCCTTTATATTTGGGTGAACCTGTTCAAAGTTTTGTGTTTCATTTAAAAAAAAAAGGCTCTTCAACAAAAACACGTATTTCTAGCTAAGATTTAATATTGTAGTATGTGCATGGTATGCACAGTTCTGAAATCCCAACATGACAGGTTACAGTAGACCCTGTTAAAGTCCAAATTTTTTTTTAATATCACTAATATTGGTGAGAGTATATGGGGATATCACTAGCAGATCTGTGTAATTCTCAACAAAAGAACCCTAGAAAGTGACCTGGCAATCCTACTAGAAATCTGTACTAAAAGTCATGTTCTAAACAAAATTTCTATACATAAATGTATTTCTATAGCATGATCCTAATATACAAAAGAAATGAGAGTATTAATGGTGCTTCCAACTCCAGTGCCTACAGGACAAGAACCACCGGGAATGATCCAGAGAGGTCAGGAAAGGATTACTAGGCGCCAACTAACTGAAGGATTCAGGCAGATCAACAACAAAGGCCATGTCAAGAGGGACACGCACACAGAGCGGGAGAAGAAATAGGAAGGAGCACAGGAGGCAGTCAGTACGGGAAGGAAAGGCCACGTCTAGTCACAGCCCTTCGCGGCATCCTGGTATGCCTCACACCAGCAGGATCTGGAAAGGAATATACCTCTGTCTGTCCCAGCAAACTTAAGTTTTCTTCAGAAGACTCCTCGGTGGATGAGGAAATCTCTCCTAAGTCTGACTTATGCCTAACTGGCAGATGGTGCTCAACAACTGATCTGGAAGACAAATTAGCCAAGCCATTTTCTTGGCATTCCAGAGATGACTCAAATTCACAGGCATTTCTCATGACTAAATTGCTGGTGTAGTTCACCAGTCTCTTATTCTGATGCTCCAGTCCTCCATTTTCTTTCTCTGAAGCAAACTCAGCAAAGATGATGGATGAGCTATTACTTTCATCACTTCTAACATCATATTGATCTCTGGTGGGAAAAAGACAGTAAAGATACAAATGAATGTAAAAAGAAAGAGTAAGTGTAACAAAATTATTTCTTCAAGACTCTATGACTCTCATTAGTAAACTCCTGGAAAAAATGACATCAAATCCATCTGGATTTGCATCTCTTTAAAATACTTAAAAATTGCTTAATTACATTTTAAAAAATCAGAAGAAATTTTTTTTAACTATTTATAGTGAATTTGGGCTTGTGATCATTTAGCAATATACACAAGTATCAAATTATCATGTTGTACACTTCAAACTAATATGTTGTCCATTAAGAAAAATAAGTAAAATATAAACAAAAGAAAAATAATGTTTTAATTTTTTTTAATTTTAAATGTAAATAAGTAAATAAAAGTAAAATACCAACAGGAACTATCTGACAGAGTTAATAATCTGACATTTTGTAATAGGAATACACAAAAAGAAATTCTAAAATATTCCCCAACTCCTAGTAGCAAAAGGCAAAAGCAATCCAACACAGGTGACAGGAAATGTCTAATGTGTAAAGGTCAACACCACTTACATACCTGTCGTCCTCTTGGTCAGAGAGCACTTCCAGGGATGGCAACTGAATAGAAATTCTATCTGCTGAACAAAGGCAAAAACAAAAACAAATCTTCAAGCAACCCAGTTTTCTAATTTATAGGCAAAGGCAGAGCTGAAATACACAAATGCCAAATGAGACTACCGTTCTAAAAACATCATGACCTTCTGGCAAAATACAACAGACCAAGCTCGTTATTCAAATGACTGGCACATGTGAGGAAATGTAGAAACGGAGTCATTCAACTATACCAGGGATCAGCAAACTTCTGTAGAGGACCAGAGAGTAAACATTTTAGGTTTGGAAGCCCTGTGGGACTGTGCTGCGAATACGCGTTTCTGCTGGTACAGGCCAGAGATGTGGGTGGATGAGAGGATTCGTGGGGGAGCAGAACAGGTAGAATGACTAAAACACACTGCTGAGGGGAGCAGTGGGCAAGACAGACTAGGTCTGCAGTGCCATGTGGGTCAGCTCCCTGGGTGGGGATTGAACTCGTGCTGCAGTGGCTGCGGAGAGCTTCATAGTGCTGTGCTTTAACCCACTGCACCACGAGGTGGGGCCCAGGAGCCAATATTCTAATATTTTATTTGTTGACATTGAGATTTGAATTTTCACAAAACATTCTTCCTCTGATTTCTTTTAACTTACCTAAAGATGTAAAATATAAAGCATTCTCAGCTTCTGAGATACAAAAACAGGGACAGGCCAGATTTGGCCACAGGAGGAATTCTGCCAAAGCCTCGATTAAATCATCAAAACCACTTACTGTGCATTTGGGCCATATGAACATGTTCTATCCAAGCAGTGTGATAACCAACAATATTAGGATGTTGAAGACCTGCCAGCACCTTCACTTCCCGTAATACCTAAAGAAGAAACATTCAAAGTTCTCTGCTATTCCTGTTATTTATTCTACTGTAAAATAACAAAAACTCCTCTGTAAAATGGACCTACGCAATGTTAAAATAATATTTCTATGAGAAACAAATACAGTTTTTTAAAAGATTTATTTTATTTATTTATGCATACAAGAGCTGGGATATAGGCCAAAGGTTCAGGAGGTAAGAGGATTTACCAGAGATAAAGCAGTAAGCAGAACAGATGGGCTGACTGAAATACATTACTGAGGGGAGTAGCAGGTGAGACAGGAGAGGTCTGCTATGACATATGGGTCACCTCTGTGGCCAGGATCAAACTGCTGTAGTGGCTATGGATAGTTTTATAGTACTGAGACTTTACCCTTGTGCCACCAGTGAGGCTCACAAATGTAATTGTTACAGTAACTTACAAGTAACACTTTTATTTTTCACAGTTCATTTATAATCATTCTCTTATTTAATATCAACTTAAGTCCTCCAAATTAAAAAAAGAATTACTACTACTAATTCAAAGACGGGAAACAGAGTGGCTTAAAGGACTAGGTCCATTGGCCCAGGACTACAAAGCATGAAAGGAGGATATTGAACAGGCTTGTAGTTTTTCACAACAAGCTACATTTTTATTGATCATTTACTAAAAAATTAATTTCTCCAGCAATGACTCTGAATGTGGTCAGTACAAAGTGTATAATATAACAAAATTAGGTCAAAAAAATTTCAGTGTTGACATTTATTTTACTGTAACCAACTATCAGTAATCTAGAAACCTAAGTCACCTTTCTGCCAATATATACACACGACATATAACTCTTCAAGATGGACCCAAATACTCATTTACTCAAAATACAAAAAAAAATTTTAAAATCATACCTTCATGCAATCTGTTTTAGTTGCACCCTTAATCAGAATTTTTTTAATTGCATAATACTGACCATCCAATTTATTCCTGACCTAAAAAATAAAGAAAAAGACAAAATTTATGAGCCATTAAATTCTGAAGGAATAAAGTTCTTTTCATCTGAGCTTGGATAGTCCAAACTTGTCAAAAAGACAAATTCCCTGAAAATGACAAATCTTAGTGAAAAGTGATTTCTAGGAATTTTCCTGTAAACATAATGATGAAAACATCTCATTTAGAACATTTATTTAGAGCAGAAAGTTAAAACAAATGTGGAAAACAACCTTGTACACTCTTCCATATCCACCTTTTCCTAAGGTGGCAAGTTCTTCAAATTCATTTAAGTAACGTGAAGTTTGTGCTTCAAAGGCTACTTCCCTTGATCTAAAAATTAAATATAAACAATCAATCAAAAGTTAAATATAAACAATCAAAACAAGAGAATCAAAATGTTCTAAACTAGCTCATGTTCACAGTATTAAACTGTTTAACTTTTTGTGATTCTAGTTACTCTCAGTCAGAAAATGTTACATGCAATAAGATAGAGAGAACTACATTTATAAAATTTGTATTACCATATACCATTGTAATTGTTCTTTTTTTTATTATTATTATTTACCTTTGTTGATATGTTACTGTGCCCAATTTATAAATTAAACTTTATCACAGGTGTGCATTTACAGGAAAAAATATAGTAAGTACAGGGTAGTATTAAGAGGTTTCAGCCATCCACTGGGGGTCTTGGAACATACACTCCAAGGATACAAGGGGTGTTACTACCATATTACTAACCTGCCAAACCATGTTTATCACTCAACTGTGGCTATTTGGAAAGATGTGCTAAAACAAACTTCTTCATTCTCTATGAAGAAATTTCATAGACTGCTGATTAGCAAATCAATAAAGTAATGATAGCAAAGCCATCATTAATCTAATTTCAAGGGGTTTGTTTGCCAGTAATTAGTAATCCAGTTAGAAATAATTATCATTGTTTTAAAGCAGCAATCTTAACATGACTAAGAGGAAGAAGTTGATTAGTTAATTGGTAACTTTACTAAAATTTCTTAATGACTCAGACCAATTTCCTAAAAATAACCATAACTCAATAGTGTTTCCCTGATAGCTTGGTATCAGTACTCAAAATTAAGAGTGGTGTTTATGGAATCCACAAAGAAGCAGGGAAGCAGAGGGGGATGGACGATAGATAGAGCAAGCCAGGTTGCTCAAAGAGGAAGAAAATAAGATAAAGCAAACCTTGAAGCAGTAATTAATTGCTGAGAATAGGCTTTTGATTTTCATAAACTACACTAACTACATTATTTAACTTCAATGCTAATTTCTGATTAATTCAAGATTCATCTTAATCATGGTTTCTTTTAGATAGTTTACTCTTTGCATAATCAAAAAAGTGTTTAACACATACCTGATCTTCTGGATATAAGAATTATCCTCACAAGGATCCTAAAATAAAATGCAACTTTTAAAAAGGCATTTTGAGGGCCCTCCCTGGTGGCACAACGGGTTAGGATGCAGCACTGCAAGCTAGCCGCAGCCACCTCAGTGTGAGTTCAATCCCCAGCCCCGGAGGTGATCCACATGGTGCAGCAGACCTCTCCTGACCCACTGGCTGCTCCCCTCAGCAAAGTAATTCATCACTCTGCCTGTTCTGCTCCCCACTCTGTCTCTGATGAATCCTCTCACCGGCCCTGCACCTCTGGCCAGTACCCCAGTTCTGTATGACTAAATATATAAATAAGTCTTTAAAAATAAACAAATAAAAAGCATTTTGAAATTTTCATGTAATAAGGAATCTATCAAAATTCAGTATTATATCAATTTCCCAAATGCTCAAGAAAAAAATTTTTTAAAGCCCAGTGCTATTTTCAATGTTACTTCAGAGTTTACAATTGATAGTATCCCTTTCTTAATCAAAAGATCACTATTAAAGCTATATTCTTGCTATTCACTGCCAAAACTGAAAATTTACCAAGGAGCTCCATAAGCAAATGATGTTAGCTCTGCCTTCAAAATATAAGCAGGAACTGCGCTGCCACTACCGTTCCAAGCCACTGTGTCTGTAGCTTGTGTGACTGTAGCTGTCTCCCTGCTTTGGCCCTTGCTGGTCCTGTCTAACCTCAATACAGCACCCGGCGTGATCCCATTAAAATGGAAGTCAGATTGTATCACTACTCTGCTCAAAATCCTGCGACGCTTCCCATCTTATTCTGAGGTAAAACTAAAGACTTTAAAACAGTCTGAAGATCCTACTCCATCTATCCTTCCTTTCCAGCTCCCCCCTAATCCCACCTTTTGTCCTCTCTTCTTTGCTTACCCTACAAGGCTACCCCAAAAGGCTGCCTATCAGCTTTCCAAACATGCCAAGCACACTGTATTTCTAGTCCTATGCCTGGAATGTTTTTTTTCTAAATACTGCATGTCTCTTCTCTCACTTCAGCTCCTGACTTAAATGACAGAATCTTGGCAAGGTCCTCCATGTCCATCCAAAAATAAGCAGGGTCCCTCCCAACATGGGCTTAATCCCACCACGTTTTTATGTTTCTTCTGAATAGTTATCACCATCTAACTCCCGTGCATATATATTTTTCCTATTGTTTACTGCTGCTCCCTCATCAGAATGTAAGCTTCATGAGGGAAGAGATTTCTATTTTCTTCATTGTTTGAACCCTGGTTCCTACAAGAGCCCCTAACACATCGTAGTCACTTGATAAATACTTCTTGAATAAACCAATGACAGTGAATATTGTTACAAATCTATTTTTAGAATCATGATTATCATGCTTTAAAATACAGTTCTCTTGAAATTGGAATGTTTTTATCATACACAAAGTACATTTCACAGTGCTCACCTGACGAACTCTCTCTTTAGCTGACCTCATTAAATGGGTGATAGCTCTGTTGTGATGCAGTCGTAATGAGCTGAATTCATCACTACAGGTGAAAGAAGACAGCAGTCCCATTTTGATAAAAGTCTGACAAAGTACTATAAAAAGAATATGGAAAACTATTATCAGAAAGGCCATCAACAAAATGGCAATTTTTAAAGTGTTCACATAGAATAAAGAGGAATAATGGCCTCTATTAGGAAAAAAGCCACTAGCAAAAGGCCTATTTATATACATATTATAGATTGGTGACTGATTCTTGAAAATGAAGGAAGTCAGTTGCTCACTAATCAGAAAGTGATGTCATTACTCACTTGACCATTCATTCACTTGTTGACCAGGCTTGGTCAGTCAGTAAAATACTAGGGTTTGTTGTTTAAAAAGCCAACAGAACGTGTAAGTATGGTAGCCTGACATTCAGACACAGCCCCTTTACTGGTAGGCCATAACACAGGAATGAAGTTAAAGAAGTGTGGATAACCTGAGTCAAGACCCACTATAGTTAAAACCGGCTATGATGTGAGGAGAATCTTAGGGGACTAGGTCCCTTAATCTGTGAACTATGACTCACATTCCAGATAGATTCTGTGAGAACTGAAATAGGCTACAAGGACCCAATTAGTGTCAGAGAACTAGTCGGGGGGGAGGGGGGGAGATCCACATTTGACATCAGAGAATTCAGTATTAAAAGAAAATGGTTTCTTATACCAAAACAAAAACACAATTGTTCCAAGTTCTCTAGTCAATAACTGGTTCAGAATGATTCTCTGTGATTTTTTCATTCACCTAGAAAAATGACTGAATCTTAATAAATCTTGCAAAATTAAATGATCATGTTATATAGATAAATCATTATATGATCACGCTATATATATATAGCTATAGATATATATATTGAACAAAAATTGTTAGGTGTAAACAATTTTGAGGTTATTAATCTTTTGATATCCCAGAGTGATTATATTCCTAAGAAATGACCTATAGGAAAACATAAAATGAATTTTATAAATGTAAACTATTAAAATTTAATTCAAATTTGTATATACCAGCTGCTATTTATACCTATGGCATTAAACAACGCAGAATTTTACAAGTTATATTTAGCAAGATTAATTCAATCTTACTAACATTTAAACACCTGTCTTGAACGAAGAGGGTTTGGTTCGTGCACATGGCTCAAGTGTTCCAGCAAAGAAACAAGCAATAGTTGGTTTGCAACTGCAAAAGGGAAAGTTGGCTGCTGTAGGGGTTCTTTTAACACCTGGAGTTCTGCTGGAACATCAGATTCTAAAAAGAAGAAAATGAAAACAAAATTCGTAAGCATTAAGCATGGCTTGTAATGACAAAGCAGCACATTCTAATTCCTGAAACAAACTATTTAAAGAAATTTTAAAAAACGCAGTATTGCTGAGTGGGGGTGATCAGTTCGGCCAGAAAGAAAAGACTTTCTAGAATTGGTTTTGCGTTGAATTCTAAAAGTTGGGTAACTAGAAGAAAGACACCATGGGACAAAAGGAAAGAGGTAGTTTCAGTAGTATTGATGTTTGCAAAAGCAGAAATACCAATAAATATTCAAGCCAATAATCAAGCAGGCAGCAATAAGATGGCTTCTTTCAGAGGACAATGTAGGCCAGGCCGGAAGAAAAAAGCCCGACAGAAGGAGGGAGGAAAGAAAGGATGGCAACACTGGGAATGTGCTACGTACAGGCCAGATGGGTGATTTTTGTCTGTCTTCATAATTGAAAATTTTAATAGTTATTGAAACAGTATAAATTGGGTTTTCACTGAAAGAGTGAGTCAGGTAAAATTACCTGTATTTGAGGAAAGAAGATCAGAACTTTTGAGAATCTTAAACAGATACATTTTTGATCTTGCTTATTTAAGGATGTGCTGTATTTTTACACATACAAAAAAGTTAATTATCCCTTTTGCTTATATTTTAGCAGAAAATGACAGGGTGCTTCTAAAAACTTTTATCACTCTTAAACACACAGAGACATTAAGTCTGAGCTAGGACTTGAAAGGGTAGGGAAGAGAAAATTAAAAATAACAAAACATTTGTTTTGGATTTCAATGATTTCTTTTTGTAATATGTACAGTTTCTGAAGTAAAATCTGATTCTAGATTGTTGAGTTTTCATTTTCTCTGGACGCCTGTCAGGTTTAACATCAATTTAATACACTACTCTGGTGGCCATCAGTGGTAAATCAATCAGGAAATTGCCTCCTGATTGGTTCACCTTACTGCACAGTAATAAGAAAGAAGGAAGGGGGTGACTTAACATAAACTGTGAATTGACCACTCACAAGCATTTATAGGTTCTCTGTCAACCTAAATATTCTTCTTTATGTACCCCTGATTTTAAGGAAATTCTTACACTATTTGAATTATATTATTGATATTGTTTAAAACAAGCTCATACTATTTTTTTCTAAAGAACATAAGTTAACCTTTTCCTTGAAGCTACTAGCCTTACCAGGACTAAAATGCTGGTCTAGGATGCCACCGTTGGTATGGAGCCCACTGAGGGACAGCTACTTGTCTAACAATCGATGACAAGTCAACCTCAATTTTTATGATGTCTGTGTTTCAAAGCATTAAGATTATCATTCTGTACTACCAATTTAGTCTTTATCATATGAAAATGATATTCTATTACATTCTCCTCTATAAACTACTCAAGGTCCTAGAAAAGGCAATGTTTTCAAATCCAGACTTCACTGCAATTTCCTCTCTGACCTAAACTGGTGGCTATATTTAGGAAAAAAGAAAAGAAAAAAGCTCTGCTTAGATGTAGATGTGCTATTCATTTTGAATGAGTATTATTGAGTATGAGAAAGAATGAAAATGTGGCCATGAGAAAATTTCTCTATCTAAAAGATATCTTAAAGTGAAAATACAAATCACAAATTTAGAGACAGTACCTAGAGCTGTATCATAGATTAAAAGAAAAAGTAGTAACTTACAGAGAGCTCTTACAAGCTAATATGAAAGTGAATCACAATTAAAATTCAAACAGGTTTAATGTAATTAGTAATTATAACACTTTAAAATAACTATTGAGCTCACTATTAAACTGGTAACTACTTAAAGCCTAATTCTTAAGGGCACAGAAAAGTAGATGTTTTTAATCACCATAGGGTAAAGGTACTTGCAACTTTCAGCAATACTTTCACCCAGCAATTCTACTTCTGGAAATGCATACCAAGGAAATAATTAAACAAAGCAGAACAGATATATATGTGCAAAATATTCAGCACAATAGTTCAGAATACTGAAATCTGGCTAAATAAGCTATAAACTATACAAATTACTAAACTGCTGTTAAGAAATGATGGTGTTGAGAAAGATCATTATAAGTAGTTTATAAGCAAATAAAAGAAGCAGGCTGTCAGACATTAAGACTGATGAGGGTGACACCAGGTGGTTTCAGGAAAACTAACAAACTTTAAAGTGGTCATGCAGCAAAGTTATTAAATATTTATTTTTAAGCTTACTTCTCTAACCAAACAAATCCTACTTCTGTGGACCTATTTTGAAAGACATAACAGGTATTTTAAAAGATATATGTACATAGATATCCAAACCATTATTACTTTAATGTTTAACAAAATGACTTAAACCTATTTCCCAATAATAAAAACTCAGTCTTAATGTTTTCAAAGGCAAATTTATCACAAGAAAATGCTAATAAATGACATTTTAAAAACAGAACATAAAATGTTATTATACCCCATCACAATTTTAAAATATATTTTTATACACACACACAAAAAAAAACCACAAATGGAAAGTACAAAACACTCTGTCCCCTATTTTCAAAGATAGCTGGACAGAAGATGCAAAGGGAATGAAATTACACTGAACATGCTGCTTCCCAGTCTGCTTGACTTACAATCTAGGCATCTGGAGTACAGCAGCTTTCAGTCAATGATTACAAATGAATACACCAAACTGGGAAGAGTGAGTTCTCTTGGACTGGAGTGAGTAGAGATGACTTCCCTTTTCCATTATTCCTTTACATTTTTGTGAGTGGTTTCTCTAAATTTGTACTATCGGCAAAAATATGACAAATATTTAGTGGTACCTTTTTTTTTTTAAAGATTTATTTATTTATGCACACAAGAACAGAGGTACAAGTAAGAGACACAGGAGAGGTGAGAGGCTTCACCAGAGACAGAGTGGAAAGCAGAACAGGCAGATCACAAAGTATACTGGTGAGGGGAGCAGCGGGTGGGTGAACAGCAGGTTGAGAAGTCCCTGCCATTCCATGTGTGTCAACTAGCACTGAAGGGGCTGTGGCTCAGCTGCCAGCTGTGGCTCACACCATGGCTTTAAACAGTTGTGCTCCCAGGGAGGGCCGAAAATAAATCTTTAAAAAACAAGTGAAACTGTCTTTTAATATACTGAATTGCTAACAATGGCTAAGATTATGATTAGCAGGGTTTTCTGCTTCCTTATACTAATTACTTCCTGTCTCCTAATATGAAAAAAATGTACATTTAAAAATTCTACTTTTTTTAAAAAAAAAAAACAACGGTTGGTCACTGGAACCACTGAAGTCACATGGGCCTGGTAAATCAAGAAAATGACAGCTTTAAAAAGTCCACTGGTTAACATGGCGTGGCAGACCTCTCCTGACCCCCTGCTGCTCCCCTCAGCAGTGTACTTCGCCATCTGCCTGTTCTGCTCCCCACTCTGTCTCTGGTGAAGCCTCTCGCCACCCGAGCCTCTGGCCTGTACCCCAGTTCTATATGTACAAATAAATAAATCTTTAAAAAACAAAAGTCCACTGGTCAGATACTCAAATACAGAGAAAAGGTGAAAGCGTAAACTCATCATTTCAGTCTGATCAAGCATAGAAGAGGAAAGAAGCTAAAAGTTAACTTACAAGAGAGTAAGAAATAAGAGAGAGATCCTAGATGAAACTGAGTTCCTGACTTCTGCCTAGTGGAAAAGGAGTAGACAGACAAGAAAGAACCACCTAACCCAGTAGCCTCAGGAAAGTATATTCCAGATGGTGCATCATTACATGAAAGAGTATCCTGGAAAACTAGTCTAAGATAAAAATTCTGAAAAACTTGTTTCAAATGAACAAAAAAATGAATGGGTCTCACAATGGGTTTATGGCTGGCCTTTGTTTTAATGAATGTTTTTCCACAGGGGTTAAAAAAGTATATACACCGCCACACCAACTTTGACCAAAGGCTGATTATGGCGGTAAGCAAATCTCTACACAGTAGTTGCCAAAGAACATAGGTGTAAGATTACAGCTGAATTTTCTAAATCTACCATTTATTGGCATAGACTGCCTCACATCACATGACCTTCAAGAAATCATTCATTCTGTTTTGATGTCTATTAAAACTGTAGCTACATTTTTCACATTCACATAAAAAGATTAGTCATGTCTAGATATTCTGAGACTCTTTGGAGAAAAAAGCTATGTGTGTACAAAACAGTACTATTAGAAACTAGAAGGAAGTTTTCTAAAACTTATCTATGATCACTCCCTTCAAGAATAATCTTTAGCTTGCAGAAAACCTTATCACAACATTACAGAAAAGACAGGCTGTGTGTTTACAGCTGGAACTTCTCCTATGACACAACACTTTACATATTTTTGACTTGCTATAATATACAACTCACATGTGAAAAAGATCAGCTTGTCCCTTAAAAAATAGTTACCTTGCAACTCCTACTTAAATTACCACCACAGTCTGCTTTTGTCTCCCTTTAGATCAAAAATTTTTTGGCAGCGTTAGGAATGAACAATGATGAATTTAAGAAATGAAAAGCTTTTCAATTCTGTATGCACCTTTAAACCCATTGCAACACGTTAACTGTTTCATGCTCCAACTAAATGTGTGTTCTCTGTGATTATCCTATAGAAACTATTATAGTAAAAACCATCCTGAATCAGTATATTCATTCTTGATACAGAATTCTTAAAGTGGTCAAGAAAAAAAATGGTAGCACTTTCATTTAAACAGTGGATACTCTGAACTGGTCAAGCCACCTTTTTTTTTTTTTTTTTTAAGCTAATTCGCTTTAGGCTAAATAACTTGACTCACTAATGCTTATCTCCTAGGAACAAAAGCCCTCAAGAAAACTTGGCTAATTGTTTTGAAACCGAAGAGAAAGATCTGCCCTATGCCTCACTAAGAGAATTTACAGCTACTGTCAGAGAAGTGAAAGTCTAGAGAAGGGAAAAGCAAGACCCTTAACTCACACGCATCGCCTGACAAAACTACAGGGCTTGAGAGCTGGAAAGTCGCCTGAAGGAAGTGTTAGCACGTCCGAAGCCCGGACACGGCGGAGGAAACCAAAGAACAGAAATGTAAACAAGCGAGGGGTGGCAGACACGGTTCCATAAATGTTTACCTTACGCTCCACGGCCCGCCCACCAGACCAACGGAGCCCGGGTTCAAGCCCAGATCCCGCCAAATTTGCCCAGGCCTGAAGCGAATCGCGCTGTCCCCTGCCCAACCGGGATAAGGGTAAATGTAGGAAAGTCACAGCCGCCGCGGCACCCGGGGTATCTCACCATCATACTTGGGGTCCGAGCCCTCGGCCGGGAATTCGATGGCAGGCGGCGCAGGCAGAGCCCTCGCCCCGTCGCCCTCCGCCTCGCACTCCGGAGACCCGGAGCTGCCCCCCAGCATCGCCGGCCGCGCGCGGGCCGCAGCCCTGCCCGCCGGCTCTCCCAGGACCGCCACTCTGGGCACCCACAGCACTCTCACGGGATCCGGAAGTCGCCCCAGAAAGCCGGAAGATTAGCAGCGGCTGCCAGGTGCCGCCGCCGGGGGCGGGGCCGGATGCAGGCCCCGCCCCTTCTGGGAGGGCCGTCGGGACCGTCAGAAGGTGACCGCGGGTTGGCGGGGTTGGAAGCGCGGCTGGGTGGGACTGGGGAGCCAGGGCCACTATGTAGGTTGGACCTTGGCCTCTGCATCAGACTTCGGACTTAGTAGAAGAGTCAGAGCGCACACATGTCATGCCAAGACTCGGTGCCAGTGTAAGAAGGGTGTCTGTCGAGATTCGAATCCAGATGTTTACCCTTTGCGGATACAAAAGTGACAATTTTGCCGTTTTCCAAAAAAAAAAAATCGAAAACATCCACAAGACCCGTCTCTATGAGTACTGAAGCTATTTTTGGTCTACCGTTAAACCACGATAAAACAGGAAATGCCAACTAGATTCCAAAGTGAATACAACCTAACAAAATCCGCTGGTTTTGAGGAAGAACTTCCAACTGAATTGATTTTCAAACCTGAGACTGCCTTTCCGACGGCCCCCTTGGCCACCCTGGATCAACTGTAGTTTGAAACCCTTGGTTTCAAAATCCCCACCTTTTTTCCCTCTGATGCCCCTAACGGTTTGGTCGATATGTAATATCTGTTTCTCACCTCTTTCCCACCACTACCAAAATAAAGAAAACCGCAAATTCAGTCTGCAGAGTGAGAAATGAAGGCAAACTTTCTGGTAGACAATGTGTAACTCATAGCAAATGCTGTTAAAAAGACATTTACCGGGCCCTCCCTGGTGGCGCAGCGGGTTAAAGCACTGCACTAAAAAGCTTAACGCAATTCCTCATGAGTTCGATCCCCGCCTGCCTGGGAGGAGATCCACATGGCGGGGCAGACCTCTCCTGACCCGCCCGCTGCTCCCCTCAGCAGTGTACTTCGTTGATCTGCCTGTTCTGCTCCCCACTCTATCCCTGATGAATCCTCTCACCCTCCGCATCTCTGGCCTGTATCCCAGTTCTGTATGAATAAATAAATAAATCTTTAAAAAAAAAAAGACATTTACCTTTGATCTACACATAGCAGTATAGGAGAGGAAATAATCAAGAGTTGCAAAAAAAGATAAATCTATAAGAATTTCACCAAAGTATAGTTCGTAATTAAAAAAGAAAAAATCCATCTTCCAAGAAGCAAACAGGGCACATGCATGCAATGAAACAAAAGCTGAGGGAGGAAAAGTACACTTTCCCCTCTTAGCTTCCATGATTTCGTACAATTCCATTTTTACTCTGGTTCACTGGCCCGGGATCTCAGAGACCTTGCTGGACCCTCCCCCTATAAATTCTGTAGTGCTGGTCACTCCAAATTGTCTCAGGAGATAACCATGTGCATTGCTATCACCTTACAAACCATCCGTAAGATGACAACTCCCAGAGTATCTCTGCAGCACAGACTTGTTCTGCTGGGTGATTCAAATCATCTCAAATTTGTCTGAAATTGAACCCGTGGTATTCGTGCTAGAACTTGCTTTCCACTATTGTCTTCATCCATATTAATGGCACACAATCCACCTACTTGTCCAAACCTAAAACCTGAGTCAGCCTTTAACCCACAACTAGAATATATAAAACCTGCCTAGAAATTAATTAACAATAAAGATGGGGCCTCCCTCATGGCACAAGGTTAAAATTTCAGTGCTACCAAGCTATTGCCAACCACTGCAGCATTGACATTAACAATAGTAACAATAATTACTGGTATTTACTGTGTACTGTTGATGGCACTCCCTCACTGTTGTGCTTTCACAAATACGATCTCATTCAATCCTCATAACAAACTTACAAACTAGGTACTATAGCTATCTAATTTGTATAAGTGAGAATATAGAGACTAAAAGTGATTTTCTTAAGGATTTATTTATTTATACATACAGAACTGGGGTACAGGCCAGAGATGCAGGGAGTGAGAGGATTCAACAGAGACAGGGTGGGGAGCAGAACAGGCAGATCAACGAAGTATACTGCTGCAGCGGGAGAGACAGAAGAGGTCTGCTAAGCCATGTGAATCACCTCTGGGGCAGGGATCAAACCTGCACTGAAGTGGCTGCAGCTAACTTGCAGTGTGCATCCTAACCCACTGTGCCACCAGGGAGGGCCGAGGCTAAACATTTTTTTTTTTTTAATACCTTGCCAAAGGTCACAGCCCTTGCATTTGATGCAGGTAGGTTTTTTTTTTTTTCCACGTCACCTTCCATAGTTAATTGTATGTTATAACAGCTTTATTGAGATAACTGCCACACCATAAAACCCACTCTTTCCAAGTGCATAATTGAGTAGTTTTTAGTATATTCACAGTTGTACAACTATCTCCACTACCTAATTTTAGAATACCTTCATTATCCCTAAAAAAATTTCTGGCAGACAATTTAAACCCAAACAGACTGGCTCTAAATTCACCCTTGTAAAGTACAATATACATGTATGTAAAGAAATATTTGATATACAAAAAGTGTTTATTATTTTTTGAGACACATACAAATAGTAATAATATGAAATGGGAATGGGAATAGCCTTGACTTAAGATGGAGAGGTCTGAAAGGATTAAAAGTAGGATTTTAACTACATCTGTAAATGTTACTTCTTTAAGAAAAACAATTCTTGGGGTCCTCCCTGGTGACTCAGTGGGTTAAAGCACAGCACTACAAAGCTAACCACCTCTGCTTCAACATGAGTTCAATCCTGGTCAGGGAGTGGACCTACATGATGCAGCAGACCTTTCCTGTCCTACCTGCCTGCTCCCCACAGCAGTGTATTTCAGTGCACCTGCTGGTTTTGCTCCCCACTCTGTTTTTGGTGAGTCCTTTCATGCCCCCACCTCTGGCCTATATCCCAGCTCTTTTATGCATACGTAAACCATTTTTAAAAAAGAGGAAAATTAGTAATATCTAATCATTACTCTTACTAATCATTACATAAATATTGAATTAGTTACCAACAGAAGGTAAGTGCTATAAACTTTAATAGTATAAAATGAATGGTATTACCATATATGCTTGGAAGTAATGAGATAGAAGAGGTAGACATTTATTGAGATAGTGGGGAATGAATTGAGATACTGTCTCAATGCATCAATAAACAAATATTTAATTATATTGTATAAGGTATCTAGTAGCATGTTTAGAATACTGTGCAAAACTCTGATTTTATGCATTGCATCATCTTCCCTGATAACTTACTAAACAGATGTTAAATTATACAAGTGTAGCATTCCTATCCAAAATTTCTAGCTTATACAGTATCTCTAATTTATTTCTACTGTAACTCCAGGGACCTGTAGCAGTTATCATTAAGTGAGAGTTTGGGAAATGGTGCCACACTGTGGAAGCTCATCTTTAAGGCAGATCCCAATGCCCTCTACTTCTTTCTAGGTCTTCACACCCTTTTCAAGTTCCCTCTCCCTCTACTAAGGTTGTGACCAATAGCACTGGAGAAATGATGGTATGAGACTTCCAAGTTTACTTTAAAAGACACTTGATTTCCATTTGCTCTCTCCATCTCCTTTCCCACCCTGGGAAAACAAGCTGACATGGGGCGAGCAGCCTAAGGCGAGGTCTACATGAGGAGCAACTGAAGCCTGCCAACAACATGGGAGTGAGCTTGGAATATTCTTCATTCCCAGTAAAGCTATGAGATGACAGCAGCCCAGGACAACTGCTTGATTGCAAGCTCAAGAAAGACTGCAAGAACCACTAGGCTATACAGTACTTAGAGCCCTGGCCCTCAGAGACTATGGGAGCAAATGTATTCTGGGAGCAATTTGTTGCACAACAGTAATAAATACCTATGGTAAACTAGATCTCAAGCATCCTGTCAGATAAGGAATGGCCTAACCTACCCCCTTGTGAAACTTCTGTTGTTCAGGTGGGGTCTCAAGCAACAGCTGTGACATCATCAGGATTGGAACCCTGATTTAATGGGATCTTGCCAACCATGTTAAGGGAAGTCCCCAGGTGAGTATATCTATTTCTGATTTCCTCTCTCCCAAATAAAGATGAGTCACTAAGGGATCCTCAATCCTTTAGTTCTTGGTTCAAGATATTTCTTTATCATGGCATTTTAAAAAAGATTTATTTATTTATGCAAACAGAACTGGGGTACAGGCCAGAGGTGCAGGGGTGGTGAGAGGATTCACTAGAGACAGAGCAGGGAGCAGAACAGGCAGAATGACTAAGTACACTGCTGAGGGGAGCAGCGGGCAAGTCAGGAGAGGTCTGCAGGGCCATGTGGATCAGCTCCTGGGCAGGGATCGAAATCATGCGGAAGTGGCTTTAGCTTCTTAGCATTGTGCTTTAACCTGCTGCACTATCAGGGAGGGCCCTATCATGACATATATATATATATAGTTTATTTTTACATCATTGTGTATATTTTTTTCCCTCTCAATTGTAATCCCCATGAGCTTCCCATCACCAAGACCTTATCATGACATTTTAAGTGGCAATTCCAAGTAGTTACTGCCGGCTAGAGTATATCACTTCAATTCCTAGACTTCTTTTTCGATTCTGGGGCCTCAACCTCAATTTACAAGAGATGTTTTTAAAGACTTTTGTTTGTTTAAAACTATTTTTATATAGGGTTACAAGATGAGACCTTTTTTAAAGATTTATTTATTTTTGCATACAGAACTGGGGTACAGACCAGAGGTGATAGAAGTGGTGAGAAGATTCACCAGAGACAGAGTCGGGGGAAGAACAGGCAGAATGACAAAGTACACTGCTGAGGGGAGCAATAGCTGGGACAGGAGAGTTCTGGTGCACCATGTGGGTCAGCTGGGGACTGAACTTGGTGCCTTGTGTTGAAGCAGTTGCAGATAGCTTCATAGTGCTGCACTTTAACCTGCTGTTTCTCAGGGAGGGCCCACAGATGAGATTTTAGAAAACTGCTAAGATGAACAGCTTCATATTTTATTTAAGATTTACTTTTGCATAGGAAAACTAGGGTGTAGGCCAGAGTTCGGAGGGTAA